AATAATTTAAAATTTCTAGAGATTCTTATAATCCAGGTATTTAAAAACAACAAAATAAAGTAAAGTAAATTAAATATTACAACAGATGAAGATTAACTTATTTTTTTAAATCTTGACTTATTTGCCTTAATAAAGTTAAGTGGTAAATTTTAAACATTTAATTCGTTGAGCTGCTTGAGTGTCACCCTGTTAATAGTGAAAATAGATAACGACGACTTTTTCAACAACTTGCGTAAAACTTTTTGCAGTCGGTTCTTAAATATTTTGATAACAATATTTTAATGAGCTTGGGAAGTATTACGGTATTTTTTTTAATACTTGGTAATGATAAAATATTATGCATGCCTCGTGTGTCAAACAAAAATGAGTCCAGTACGCGACCGTCTACCACAGTCTCTTTCGCCGTAGTTTTCACGTAATGTGTAATAATTTTTGTATTTTAAAAGAATGAGAAAATGAGTTGCATGATAGTTTTAACTAACAAAGCTTGGTTTTGTCAAGAAAAATATTAAAATGTTAAGATACATTACAATAATTTTCATATCATCACACGTTTCAGGTAATCATGTAAGTTTATTTATAAATCCATGCCAACAAGGGTACATTTAATAAAATAATTATTTTTTAGTCTACTCTCAAAGTTGTGAACCAATTAATTTTGGAGGTGAAAGCATCGTTTGTAAATGTAACTCAACCTATTGTGATTTTTACTCTGATCCAAAACCGATAACTACTGGTGAATTTATTTGGTATGTTACGAGCAAGTCTGGACTACGATTAAATCGTTTTATGGGAAAAATTGCAAACAAGTGTGAAAATAATCACGTAATAAAAATCAATTCCAACATCCGATATCAAAGTATGAAAGGTTTTGGAGGAGCTATCACTGATGCAGCTGGTATTAATATTAAAAAACTTAGCGAAAAATCCCAGGATAATCTAATGAGGTACGATTTTTATGTGTATTTTTAAATAAAAGAGTTCTATCAAGTTTATGCGGATTATATTATTAGATTTTTGGAAGAGTATAAAAAGAATGGATTTGATATGTGGACTCTTTCAACTGGAAATGAGCCACTAACTCCTTTATTACCAAACAGTAATATTAATAGCATGTACTGGTCACCTGCAGCCGAAGCTAAGTGGGTTGTAAATAATTTAGGGCCTACTTTAAAAAAGTCCCGCTTTAACAATACGGGAGTGTTACTGTATGACGATCAAAGACTGGCATTGGCATACTATATCTCTGCGATTATAAACAAATATCCAGAAAGTATGAAGTACGTAACAGGCATTGCTGTGCATTGGTATGCCGATTACGTTATTTCGCCTGCACCTCTTGATTATACACATGAACAAGTTCCTGATAAATATATTTTGATGACAGAATCATGTATAGGTAAAAAAAAAAAATACAAACACTTTATCTTTATGTAACTAATGTTATGTTAATCATTTTTAAATTAGAAAACAAATTTTTTATAAAAATTTTTTTGCAGGTGCTGGTCGTGATGAGAATCCTAAAGTTATTTTGGGATCTTGGTCACGAGCAGAACAATTGGTCAAAAAATTATTTGAAGTAATTGAAATACATACGTTGCTATTGAAATTTAACCATGTAAAACTTTACTTGATTGATGTATTTTTGGATTTTTATTTGTACTAGAATTTTAACCATTGGATTGTTGGCTGGATTGATTGGAATCTGGCTCTGGATAAGCAAGGAGGACCAAATTGGGTCAATAATTTTGTAGATGCATTTATAATTGTTGACCCAGACAAAGATGTATTCTACAAGCAACCCATGTTTTATGCCTTTGCACATTTCAGTAAATTTGTGCCACGATCCTCGGTTAGAATCAATACAAGCTCATCAGATGATATAGTTTTATCTACAGCTTTTAAAACCACAAATGGTGAAATAGTAGCTCTATTGTACAATACGTAAGTTTTTCATTTTGATTTTTAAGTTTACTTTAAACTGAAGACGCAAAAATAACTTAGTTTACATTCTAGGAGCGATAAAAAGAAGAGTGTCACCATATCTGATAAAAAAGTGGGAAGTATAAATTTGGTGCTCCCCCCAGCTTCTATTCATACCATTTTATACAAAAATTAATAAAAATATGAAGTAAATGTGTATTGTACTTTTCTTTGTTTTGTTAACATATTTATTTAACTAATGATTTTTCTTAGAGAAATATTTTTGTACATTAATAATGTTATAAAATCGTTTATCATATATACTTTTGTACAATTTAAATAGAAAGTAATTTTTTACTTGTATAATAAAGTTATTATTTATGTAAAATGCTTTTTATTTATTAACCACTACTCTACGTGAAAATCATTTTTACCAATTTGCCAAGAGCCAAATAGTAAAAAATTAATGACTTTCAGTGAGCTGTATTCTTAAGGAAAAAAATTTTAAGGAAGGAAATTGTAAATACATGCTGTGAATCTAAAAAACCAATTATAAATTTTTATACATTTCGAGNTAAAAACTTTTTCTGTAACAGAACAATGTGTAGATAATGAATAAAAAGAGTCTGATCAATCTTCAAAATAATTTATTAAAAACGTTGCATATACTTGATATTTTAAATCGATAATCGTTAATGTATATTACGTTTATAGCATATGTATATAATCGTCGATAGTGTTAATTAGTAACTATGCGTGTTGTGTGAGCATGTGTGGTGATTTTTTTGCTACACTCGTTCATTATCAGCAATTCATGTCCAGATTTAAAAAAATTCATTGATACATTAATGGTAACTGATGTTATTGCGCTTCGTGATACTTTGAATTTTCCTTGACTGCAGAATCAAATGTTTTTACATAAAATTGGACGTGTAATACTAAATTAATGTTGAATATTACTTAATTGTCCATTAAAAAAGTACAAAGGGCAGTGCCTGAATTTCATTCCAATTTAAGTAAACAGTACTTTTATGAGATCAAGGATTATTATCGAACCTTATTGCAAGCGCCCACATATTACAAGGATGCTGCACTTTATTTTATTCTTCAAAAATGTTCAAATATCACTCATCGTTTTATAATGAACAACAAACCTATAGAAAAGCAAAATGAAATACAGTATTCTCTGGACTTGTCAAAATGGCACTCATACATTTTTCTGTTATTGTACGTAAAGCATGGTACATAAGATTTATTCTTCGCACGTCAACATTTTCTATTGCACGAGTTTCTTTACATGATATCATCTAAACGAGATTTTCTTTTCTTATTTTGGTGTATCTCATTACAAATGTGTCTATGTATATCTCTGTGTGCGCGCACGTGCACTTTTGTGCCTGCGTGTGTTATTGTCAGTTGATCTCCTGACCATCTCGACACGATCCATCGTATCCACATTTACGTGAGCTTAATTTTATTCAAGCAACTATTTTTGAAATTTCTTATTCATTTTACTGCAGTGTTATACTACAACTTAATCTTTATCAATTTCCAACACGTAATCGTAGACATTTTTTTAATTACGAGCTAATTGTACATGTCTTGAAGTAAAGTCCAATCAACGTGATGGTAATTTTAATCTTGATGGGCAGCTTTTTAGTCTACTAAGTTGCACACATTCAGGTCATTCTTGTCTACCCTGTGCTACCTTAATCCAGTTTTTTGGTCTACTAAATGCTTTAGTAATTCCTGCAGTGCATATAATGTAAGTTTAAAAAATGCAATACAATGAAGGGGAAATTTTGCTTTGAGATGAATTTTAAAATGTATTCAATTTTTTTTTAAAAAAGGATATATTTTTACTTCAAAACAATCTATGTACAGCTCTCTCCAGCATCATCATTTTAGCGAAAAATCCCAGGATAATCTAATGAGGTACGATTTTTATGTGTATTTTTAAATAAAAGAGTTTTAATTTTATTATTGTTCTTTTTTCATCAGAACAGCATACCAGTACACCAGATACCTTTTGAAAAATAAAATGTTTACGCGTTGAAAAATTACGTTGTAGTTGAAAATTCATAAAATTCATAATGTTTTGGGACTTAAATTGAAATCTTGATGATCACATCTTTTGTTTATAGATCTTACTTTGGAAAAGATGGTAGTAAGTACAATATTGGTCGCATACCAATAGCAGGTACTGATTTTTCGACACGTGCGTACACTTATGATGATACTTCTGGAGATAAAGAGCTGAAATATTTTAAACTGGTCGATGAAGACTTTTTATACAAAATGCCATTAATGAAACGGGCCAAAGAATTAAATCCTTCAATACGCTTCTTGGCAACTCCTTGGACTGCTCCACCCTGGATGAAAAGCAACAAGAAGTATAATGGGTTGGGTACTTAACGTCATAATAAATTTAGCACTTTCAGATTCAATAATGTTCAGTCATAAGATCAAAATAACAATTCAAGTATGTTTTTATAATTTTTTTAGGATGGTTACTTGATGAGTACTATCAGACCTACGCCAACTACATAATCAAGTTTTTAGAAGAATACCAAAAGCATGGTTTCAATATGTGGGCTGTCTCAACTGGAAACGAGCCACTGGCCGTATTAAATCCCCTTAGCCACATCAATACAATGCTGTGGACCCCGTGTTCTTTATCAGCATGGGTTGTTGAATATTTAGGACCTTCTTTACAGAAGTCCATTAGCAACAGCACATCTATTCTCATTATAGATGACCAAAGACTCACCCTACCTATATATGCAGGCGTTATGGCAATTTTTTATAGAAATACTTTACAGTATGTAAAAGGCCTTGCTGTCCACTGGTATTTGGATGAATTCATTCCACCATTCACGCTCGATATAACTCATATGATGATTCCTGATAAGTTTATCATAAGTACTGAATTTTCTGTAGTTAAGTTAATTATGTTTTTCCATTAGTTTGACAACAGGATTTGTTGTTGCAGTAATGTATTGATTTTAATTTTAAATTTTATTTAAATTAGGCAATCGTCCTTGGGAAATGATAAAAGTAGATCTAGGTTCATGGTCTAGGGCTGAAAGATTAATACTAAAATTAATTCAAGTATACTTTTCTAATTTATTTTATACTAAAAAATTTTTAAACGGTACGTTTTCTATCGTCTCATTTTTTTTCTTGCAGAACATCAACCATTGGGTTTCTGGTTGGATAGATTGGAACTTAGCTCTGGATATAAAAGGAGGTCCTAACTGGGTTGGCAACAACATCGATGCACTGATAATTGTTGATCCAGAAAATGACACATTTTACAAACAACCCATGTATTATGCTATGACCCATTTTAGTAAATTTGTGTCTCTTTCTTCAATTAGAATAGAAGCCAAAAGTAATTTTAATACAATTGCATTTACAGCATTTTTAACCAGCGACAATTATGTAGTTCTTATTTTGTACAATTCGTAAGTATAATTATTTCTCTCAAATGATAAAATATGAATTAATATGATACCTTGTTTGTAGAAATGCCAATCAACAAAACGTATCGATAGTGGATGACAAAGTAGGTAGCATAAATATAGCATTAACTGCTTATTCCTTACAGACAATTTTATACAAGAATCGTTGAGTTACAAAACATCTTTAATATTTTGTAAAAAGAAATTCATTGAAAGTGTCATTGTTAGAATTAAAATCTGCAGCAGCTAATATTCGAATAAAAACTTTTTCTGTAACAGAACAATGTGTAGATAATGAATAAAAAGAGTCTGATCAATCTTCAAAATAATTTATTAAAAACGTTGCATATACTTGATATTTTAAATCGATAATCGTTAATGTATATTACGTTTATAGCATATGTATATAATCGTCGATAGTGTTAATTAGTAACTATGCGTGTTGTGTGAGCATGTGTGGTGATTTTTTTGCTACACTCGTTCATTATCAGCAATTCATGTCCAGATTTAAAAAAATTCATTGATACATTAATGGTAACTGATGTTATTGCGCTTCGTGATACTTTGAATTTTCCTTGACTGCAGAATCAAATGTTTTTACATAAAATTGGACGTGTAATACTAAATTAATGTTGAATATTACTTAATTGTCCATTAAAAAAGTACAAAGGGCAGTGCCTGAATTTCATTCCAATTTAAGTAAACAGTACTTTTATGAGATCAAGGATTATTATCGAACCTTATTGCAAGCGCCCACATATTACAAGGATGCTGCACTTTATTTTATTCTTCAAAAATGTTCAAATATCACTCATCGTTTTATAATGAACAACAAACCTATAGAAAAGCAAAATGAAATACAGTATTCTCTGGACTTGTCAAAATGGCACTCATACATTTTTCTGTTATTGTACGTAAAGCATGGTACATAAGATTTATTCTTCGCACGTCAACATTTTCTATTGCACGAGTTTCTTTACATGATATCATCTAAACGAGATTTTCTTTTCTTATTTTGGTGTATCTCATTACAAATGTGTCTATGTATATCTCTGTGTGCGCGCACGTGCACTTTTGTGCCTGCGTGTGTTATTGTCAGTTGATCTCCTGACCATCTCGACACGATCCATCGTATCCACATTTACGTGAGCTTAATTTTATTCAAGCAACTATTTTTGAAATTTCTTATTCATTTTACTGCAGTGTTATACTACAACTTAATCTTTATCAATTTCCAACACGTAATCGTAGACATTTTTTTAATTACGAGCTAATTGTACATGTCTTGAAGTAAAGTCCAATCAACGTGATGGTAATTTTAATCTTGATGGGCAGCTTTTTAGTCTACTAAGTTGCACACATTCAGGTCATTCTTGTCTACCCTGTGCTACCTTAATCCAGTTTTTTGGTCTACTAAATGCTTTAGTAATTCCTGCAGTGCATATAATGTAAGTTTAAAAAATGCAATACAATGAAGGGGAAATTTTGCTTTGAGATGAATTTTAAAATGTATTCAATTTTTTTTTAAAAAAGGATATATTTTTACTTCAAAACAATCTATGTACAGCTCTCTCCAGCATCATCATTTCTTAGCAAATAACTAAATGTATAAGTTAGAAATTTTTTAATTATAAATAGTTGGCAGTCTTCAAAAGAGTTTGAAATCCACATAAATACGTTGCTCCGGACTGATTCTCAGTTTTCCAGACTAACTTGATGTACAGTATATTTGAGTAATTGCAATTTTAAGTTATTTTTACAACTTTGAACTACAGCTCATGAGCTTATGAACTCTCATCTACTCAAGTGAAATATTTGTAATTGATTGAGTCAGTCGGTTAGTTTTAAGTTCTTCTTATTATAAGAAAAAACTCACAAGATAAAAGCGAGATTTGTCATCCAACTTTGATAAAATATTCGACTCTAGAAAAGTTAAAATTTTTATTTTTACTGTACTAAAAAAGATGGGTAAAATCTTTCAAATTTCTGAAAAATATTTTAAATTCGAGGAGATGTAGCCTTCACTAAATTTTATCGTAAAAAAATGTAATTAATTCAATTCTCTGATCTTTTTGTTTTACTCTTTTAACAACTGTATTCGATGTAAAAGTAAAATATGAAACAGTCACAGAAACTTTATCTTCAATGNTCCAAAACCGATAACTACTGGTGAATTTATTTGGTATGTTACGAGCAAGTCTGGACTACGATTAAATCGTTTTATGGGAAAAATTGCAAACAAGTGTGAAAATAATCACGTAATAAAAATCAATTCCAACATCCGATATCAAAGTATGAAAGGTTTTGGAGGAGCTATCACTGATGCAGCTGGTATTAATATTAAAAAACTTAGCGAAAAATCCCAGGATAATCTAATGAGGTACGATTTTTATGTGTATTTTTAAATAAAAGAGTTTTAATTTTATTATTGTTCTTTTTTCATCAGAACAGCATACCAGTACACCAGATACCTTTTGAAAAATAAAATGTTTACGCGTTGAAAAATTACGTTGTAGTTGAAAATTCATAAAATTCATAATGTTTTGGGACTTAAATTGAAATCTTGATGATCACATCTTTTGTTTATAGATCTTACTTTGGAAAAGATGGTAGTAAGTACAATATTGGTCGCATACCAATAGCAGGTACTGATTTTTCGACACGTGCGTACACTTATGATGATACTTCTGGAGATAAAGAGCTGAAATATTTTAAACTGGTCGATGAAGACTTTTTATACAAAATGCCATTAATGAAACGGGCCAAAGAATTAAATCCTTCAATACGCTTCTTGGCAACTCCTTGGACTGCTCCACCCTGGATGAAAAGCAACAAGAAGTATAATGGGTTGGGTACTTAACGTCATAATAAATTTAGCACTTTCAGATTCAATAATGTTCAGTCATAAGATCAAAATAACAATTCAAGTATGTTTTTATAATTTTTTTAGGATGGTTACTTGATGAGTACTATCAGACCTACGCCAACTACATAATCAAGTTTTTAGAAGAATACCAAAAGCATGGTTTCAATATGTGGGCTGTCTCAACTGGAAACGAGCCACTGGCCGTATTAAATCCCCTTAGCCACATCAATACAATGCTGTGGACCCCGTGTTCTTTATCAGCATGGGTTGTTGAATATTTAGGACCTTCTTTACAGAAGTCCATTAGCAACAGCACATCTATTCTCATTATAGATGACCAAAGACTCACCCTACCTATATATGCAGGCGTTATGGCAATTTTTTATAGAAATACTTTACAGTATGTAAAAGGCCTTGCTGTCCACTGGTATTTGGATGAATTCATTCCACCATTCACGCTCGATATAACTCATATGATGATTCCTGATAAGTTTATCATAAGTACTGAATTTTCTGTAGTTAAGTTAATTATGTTTTTCCATTAGTTTGACAACAGGATTTGTTGTTGCAGTAATGTATTGATTTTAATTTTAAATTTTATTTAAATTAGGCAATCGTCCTTGGGAAATGATAAAAGTAGATCTAGGTTCATGGTCTAGGGCTGAAAGATTAATACTAAAATTAATTCAAGTATACTTTTCTAATTTATTTTATACTAAAAAATTTTTAAACGGTACGTTTTCTATCGTCTCATTTTTTTTCTTGCAGAACATCAACCATTGGGTTTCTGGTTGGATAGATTGGAACTTAGCTCTGGATATAAAAGGAGGTCCTAACTGGGTTGGCAACAACATCGATGCACTGATAATTGTTGATCCAGAAAATGACACATTTTACAAACAACCCATGTATTATGCTATGACCCATTTTAGTAAATTTGTGTCTCTTTCTTCAATTAGAATAGAAGCCAAAAGTAATTTTAATACAATTGCATTTACAGCATTTTTAACCAGCGACAATTATGTAGTTCTTATTTTGTACAATTCGTAAGTATAATTATTTCTCTCAAATGATAAAATATGAATTAATATGATACCTTGTTTGTAGAAATGCCAATCAACAAAACGTATCGATAGTGGATGACAAAGTAGGTAGCATAAATATAGCATTAACTGCTTATTCCTTACAGACAATTTTATACAAGAATCGTTGAGTTACAAAACATCTTTAATATTTTGTAAAAAGAAATTCATTGAAAGTGTCATTGTTAGAATTAAAATCTGCAGCAGCTAATATTCGAATAAAAACTTTTTCTGTAACAGAACAATGTGTAGATAATGAATAAAAAGAGTCTGATCAATCTTCAAAATAATTTATTAAAAACGTTGCATATACTTGATATTTTAAATCGATAATCGTTAATGTATATTACGTTTATAGCATATGTATATAATCGTCGATAGTGTTAATTAGTAACTATGCGTGTTGTGTGAGCATGTGTGGTGATTTTTTTGCTACACTCGTTCATTATCAGCAATTCATGTCCAGATTTAAAAAAATTCATTGATACATTAATGGTAACTGATGTTATTGCGCTTCGTGATACTTTGAATTTTCCTTGACTGCAGAATCAAATGTTTTTACATAAAATTGGACGTGTAATACTAAATTAATGTTGAATATTACTTAATTGTCCATTAAAAAAGTACAAAGGGCAGTGCCTGAATTTCATTCCAATTTAAGTAAACAGTACTTTTATGAGATCAAGGATTATTATCGAACCTTATTGCAAGCGCCCACATATTACAAGGATGCTGCACTTTATTTTATTCTTCAAAAATGTTCAAATATCACTCATCGTTTTATAATGAACAACAAACCTATAGAAAAGCAAAATGAAATACAGTATTCTCTGGACTTGTCAAAATGGCACTCATACATTTTTCTGTTATTGTACGTAAAGCATGGTACATAAGATTTATTCTTCGCACGTCAACATTTTCTATTGCACGAGTTTCTTTACATGATATCATCTAAACGAGATTTTCTTTTCTTATTTTGGTGTATCTCATTACAAATGTGTCTATGTATATCTCTGTGTGCGCGCACGTGCACTTTTGTGCCTGCGTGTGTTATTGTCAGTTGATCTCCTGACCATCTCGACACGATCCATCGTATCCACATTTACGTGAGCTTAATTTTATTCAAGCAACTATTTTTGAAATTTCTTATTCATTTTACTGCAGTGTTATACTACAACTTAATCTTTATCAATTTCCAACACGTAATCGTAGACATTTTTTTAATTACGAGCTAATTGTACATGTCTTGAAGTAAAGTCCAATCAACGTGATGGTAATTTTAATCTTGATGGGCAGCTTTTTAGTCTACTAAGTTGCACACATTCAGGTCATTCTTGTCTACCCTGTGCTACCTTAATCCAGTTTTTTGGTCTACTAAATGCTTTAGTAATTCCTGCAGTGCATATAATGTAAGTTTAAAAAATGCAATACAATGAAGGGGAAATTTTGCTTTGAGATGAATTTTAAAATGTATTCAATTTTTTTTTAAAAAAGGATATATTTTTACTTCAAAACAATCTATGTACAGCTCTCTCCAGCATCATCATTTCTTAGCAAATAACTAAATGTATAAGTTAGAAATTTTTTAATTATAAATAGTTGGCAGTCTTCAAAAGAGTTTGAAATCCACATAAATACGTTGCTCCGGACTGATTCTCAGTTTTCCAGACTAACTTGATGTACAGTATATTTGAGTAATTGCAATTTTAAGTTATTTTTACAACTTTGAACTACAGCTCATGAGCTTATGAACTCTCATCTACTCAAGTGAAATATTTGTAATTGATTGAGTCAGTCGGTTAGTTTTAAGTTCTTCTTATTATAAGAAAAAACTCACAAGATAAAAGCGAGATTTGTCATCCAACTTTGATAAAATATTCGACTCTAGAAAAGTTAAAATTTTTATTTTTACTGTACTAAAAAAGATGGGTAAAATCTTTCAAATTTCTGAAAAATATTTTAAATTCGAGGAGATGTAGCCTTCACTAAATTTTATCGTAAAAAAATGTAATTAATTCAATTCTCTGATCTTTTTGTTTTACTCTTTTAACAACTGTATTCGATGTAAAAGTAAAATATGAAACAGTCACAGAAACTTTATCTTCAATGGCAGTACAATTATTTTTTTTAAATTTTGTGCTTTCATCATTCCATTAAACAGTCGAGCTAATGCTCTTTCATTAAAATTTATATGTACTTTTGTCAGTCGTACATACAGTATCATCAAATAGGATAAAAAGAGATATCGCACTAAATATCGTCGCTATGATTCACAATTTTAAAACCTCAGCAAAATATTCGATTACGTAGCTCTAATGTTTTTCTTATTATTATTGTTGTTTCGTTTGCTCAGGATTTTTGATTGAAACCATGTATAAATTTTGATCAATAGTTATCAAAGTGATACTTCAGACTTAAGTTAACAAGTTTTGTGCTAGTAGTTATTTTGACATGTAGAAATAAAATAAATAATAACTTATTGGCTCTTAAATTTTTAAATAGTTTAAAATTTTAATTATAAGCTTCACAACTACTCGCATGACTTTAAAATGTATGAAAGTACCCCTTTTGGAATGGATAATTTTAGATAGCAGTATTTTACAGTTTGAAAAAATAAAATTAATGACTTTTTTATTTGAATGTTTGTTTGCTCACTTAATGGTAAACAATTGGGAAATCTGTAGTGCAAGAAAATGAATTTTTTAAGATAATTTCCAAATATTTTATTCAGGGCTGCAATGCATAAATACCGTTAAATAGCTTAAGTATTACAATTTCTTCTTTTTTTTTTTCTTGACGTACAAATTTTCATTTTTGCAACAACAGTTTTCTCTTCGTTTATGAAAAAATGCATAAAATATCAATCATAAAAAAAACATTGACAGTGGTATGCTTATCGAACATTCGATGGCTGTATTTATTTTTTTCGCATTTAAATAAGTTATTGTTAATAGCACAATTTATACTTAGAGCTGCATATAAACTAATACGTTTTGACATCATTTTTTACAAAACTTTTTTCAAGTTTGAATTAAAACAAAAAGGATAAGAAATATTGTGTTGGATGATAAAAAAAACTATTTTTTAACTATTTTTTCTTATACTTTAGTAAAATTTGCATAAAGTTTGTGTAATTAAACTATTGTTCACAAACGTATGATACACTCAATTCGAAAAATAAGTTAAAGTATAAACTTAACCAAATAAATGATGAATAAACATTGGGGTGTACCATTTAAAAGTCAATCAACTATCGAAGCGTCATATAGATGTCTGCATTGAGTGGAAACTAAAAACAGCATGAAGTAGAGAAAAGTTAGGGAAGAGGAAAAAAAATCAAAGACCACCAGCTGCGTGCCAGCGGGCTTGTTTGATCTGCCGAAAGTGTCTAATTAAAGCCGAGAGTTTTTCCAGGTCAGATGGTTTGCGTAACAGAGACCTTTGTACAGAAGCGCAATTGTTTCATGTAGATACGTACCATTTTTTTATTTTTATTTTGATGGTGTGTGCAGGAGAGTGTACGAATAAAAGTCCTTTTAGCATGCTTTTTTTCATTTCAAACTGAACATGAGGGCTTGTTACTCAAACAACGATACGTATATCACTTTGATTTTTGTCTCTTTCGTTTAACAGTCCTGCAAACTTTCCAACAGTACATGACCGTACTCTACTTTTTTTCCCTATTTTTTTTTGTTTGCAGTGCACATGAACACGTGTCGCTTGGAACAAAATTCGAGAAAAATTTAATCAAAATGTATTTCAGAAACTAAGCTAAATAGAAGAAAATTTTTCAGTCTTAGGCGTGTAAACATAAGTATAATTTATAGTTATTATTTATGTAAAATGCTTTTTATTTATTAACCACTACTCTACGTGAAAATCATTTTTACCAATTTGCCAAGAGCCAAATAGTAAAAAATTAATGACTTTCAGTGAGCTGTATTCTTAAGGAAAAAAATTTTAAGGAAGGAAATTGTAAATNTAACACGTAAGGTAAATTTTTGCAGCATCAAAATTATGCTTGATTTGAATTTTAGGATAATTTCTTTTTTGAATCGTCTTGTTAATCTTAAACTCCTTGTTGCATATACTGTATAAAAATTACTGTACCCAATAGTTCAGAAAATAATAAAAATCCAGCTACAATATTAATAAAAAACATTACAGTATCCTTAATAGTTATATTTAATTAGATTTTATTCTTAATTTTTTTTCAACTATAAAATTTGATCTCAGTATCAACTTAAGAACATTTTTAACCTTTTTTTTGGACAACAATTACATTGTACGATTGAAAGTTATGGACGATATTGATTATAAGTCATTTTACATTATTATGTATTTAGTACAAAGAACAAACTCATTATTATTGTGCATAAAAAATTAACACTGTAGTCATTATTTGGCACTCACTTGTAATAAGTCTTTTTTGAAAAATTTGGTCCCAAAAATCAAAGTCTTAATTAATGAATTTATATCAAACAAAGAAATAAAAAAAAATTCTATAAACTCAATTATTTAGATTAAATTATAATATACTTATACTTGAAAAGAGTTTTTAAATTTGTCTTGTTACTTCGATAGTTGATTTTTACAAAAAAATTTATATTTGAGAGTAAACGACGAAAAAGCGCAACAAATAATAATTCAACTGCGATTATTGATGAGAATTTTTCTAGATTATTACACATGCACTGTCAATGGCTTATTTTTATTGCTGGTGTCTCAGGTTAGTTAATTTTTTCTCTAATAAGTACAATTTCTAAAACCCAGATACAGAAATTTTTTCAGTTTTTGTGTACAATTTAATGTTAATGAGTAGTATTTGTTTGTTTGTGCATACATTTAAAAATATTTAAATTTTGAAAAACCTTTTCGTGATTCACACATAGTTTTCACAACTGTTGATAATTGATAAATGCTTAGTCTTCCTGTACGTTGTTTTCTTTTTTCTTGTTTTACAGACTAGTAGTTCATCTGCGACCTCATTGCATAACTTTCATACGATAAAAATGAAGTTTTAAAAAGTATTCATGTATATAAAATCTTAAGTTATCATTATTCTTTAGAATGAATCAAATTTAAAAATAATTTAGTAACAGATACAAACAAAAAGACATAGACAATAATATGAAAGTATGCAAAGTACGCTGAGTATAGCCACGGCTTAGTGATTTTATCATAGTAAAGTACATTAAATTATTTACAAATATTAACAAGGTGTACGTGCCCGATTACTAATCGTCGATAATGTTATCGTTGTTACACACTATACATAGTTAACTTATCAATGTGTACACCATAAAAGGAAGCTCTAAAAAAAATTACTTCTCAACATTTTACAATAACAATATCGTCGAGTACATCGGTGGACCAACAATTCCGGAGCACAGCTCCGTAAGAAGAAACAGTGTGTGTAATAATTATTATTGAATATTATAATATTCATTAATTGTCAATTGTCGCTTCATTAGTTATATCACATAAGTTTTTCATCTAACTATTATTAATATTAAATTCTAGTAATTACATTATTACAGTACATTCGTATAGGAGTGTTATCTATTTATTAATTTATTACTCTTTAATCTTTGGATTAGTATCGGGCTTTTATTACTTTTTTATCGTAAGATAAAAAGAAAAATAAATAAAAAAAAAAAAATGGTCGTACGATTTAAAGTGATCTAGAGCTGTGTTTCCTTACAATAATCACGGAATGTATAACAAGTAATCCCAATAAAACAAATGAAATATGAGCAGCATGGAGTTCGCGTTTGAACCGAAAAATCTTAGACAACGAAAAGTTTATGCTCAAACTATTTCTAAAAAATAAACCTCACTTTCTTGCTCGTCCGTCACAGTGGAGAGTCACCTATAAAAATTAATTTACAAAATCTGAATTATTGTTCTGCTCAAAGGAGCAACGCATGTCTATAGTACTAATTGACGAGTCCGATCAGCCTGCAGCATATCGTTGACCGTCTCGGCAGATATCGTTCGTCGTCTTCTCGATTTTCAGCTCAGGCTTATGCGAGCTCTGCACGTCACGTCGAGTATTGGAACTTTGATTGGTTGGTAGCGATTTTCCAGGCTCCTAGGACTATTGCCATTCTGAAATGAAATTAATAGACAAAATTAAGGCATCTCGAAAGATGAATGTCGTGTTTTCTTCGATTGAAGCTGACGTTTCTTCCGTAAAGGGCCTGACTAAGAAATAGCCAAAACAAGTTACCATAGCTTATAAAAAAAAAATCAACAGAGTTCATTGATTCGTCCAGAATCACAGTTTATGCATAAGTGGAAATCGCTGCGGATATAGTCTTGTAAATTTACTGAAGACTCAATCTTTTTGAAAGTATTTGAAAAGATATGGACAAAAATTACAGTCGGTATGGAACTTGTTAACTGTTCAAGCTGAGCACTAGCTCTCAAAATCAAGTACCAAAACTATGGTGGAAACACATTTATCATGACAGTCGTTTCGCTAAATTATCGAGGTAAACAAAGAAAAATCCAGCCATACAATGCAATCATACACTCGGATGGCTCACCTGCATCTCAGACACCTCGTTCTTCAGCTTTTCCGGCTCGTCTCCTCGAAATCCCCTCAGCCCAAGTCCCACGGAAAACCATATCGTCGCAATCACCAGCCAATGAAAAACCCAGGGATCGTCGTCACACAGTGGTGACGCGGTCGATCTCGACGTATCGCACAGAACTCTCGCTGTGTCAGCAGATGACCTCCTTGCCGTCGATAATAGCCGTCTCGGAGGAGATGCTCTTAAGCCGGTGCTGGGAGAGCGAGCGGGCCCCGTGACCATCGCGACAGGCACGCCACGAGACGACGCAGAAGAGGGTGCTAATCGTGAGGCAGCCCAAGGCTAGGAGCCCGAGGTGCAGGGGCGGCAGCTTCAGAAGAATCGAGCAGTGGGACAGGGCCTCGTCGTAGCCGGTGGGACAGTGGCTTGTACCGTCGCACCAAAGCGAGGCGTTAATGCACGCGTCGAGCTCCGGGCAGCGCTGCTCGCAGTCATAGCCCAGCCGTAATCCCGAGAGCGCTGACGACACCGATGGCCTGCTACGGACACAGGAGATAATGTATTTTTATTTTTGTCAAAAAGTGGTACGGTGTACAACGAGTGCAGTGCTATACCGTCTGGTGAGCTCGAGCCAGGTGACGACGTATTCATCCTCCTCCTTGACAATATACTCGACTGCGATGCTCCGGGAGATGTCGCGATTCGCCGCTACCATCATATCGTTGTCGCTGACGGTCCAGCCGTCACTGAACACTTCGACCGTACTGTACCGATCGGCCGACGCTGGCTTTGGGCAGACGGCCACGTTCAATTCACCGGCAGTGTGTACGACTATGCGGTTCTTTGTCCCGCACTTTGTGCGATTCGATGCTATTTTGCCCGGCACTTTTACGTAGAGGTACTGGTCGGGGCCCGGCTCGATAAGCCACGGATGGTCTTGGCAGTACCGCAGCTGCTGAAACGACAAGTCCTTAATAACATGTCTTACGGGCATGTCATTGATTTTTTTTTTTTATAAGCCAGAATCACGAGTCTGACTGAAACTTGAGTTTATCTACTTTGGAATTGGAATAAGATTGTTGCCAGGCTTTTACGTTTTTGCCTGGAAAACCATTAAGTGAAAAACACGCGTGAGTAAGTACAACTGATGAAGAAAAATAATAGAAATGTAAAAAATACAACAAAGGTAAAAAATAGGGAGAATTAGGGTCTGATATATTACCCCCTCCTCGTCCTCGTCGTCGTCAACGAGCGGACGGCTCTTGATTTCCCCAGAGGGGCCTCGCACGCGTCTCTTCTGCAGGCACTGCTCGGATTTCAAAAAGTCCCAAGTGCCCTCAAAGTACAGATTGTTGTAGTCGTCGAGGGCACCCATCGCGTGCACGACAAAGTGCACCTCGACTATGTTGGTCTTGGACTTGAAATTCATCGGCAGCGAGCGGTTCGAGCAAAAACAGTCTCGCTGTATCGGCGGTCCGTTCGTCCAAGGAAGCTCCATCACCTGAATTTTCCGATGATATAATGATCATTTGATTAATTTAATGATACAGCTAATACGTTCTGCTGAAAACTCAATGCTGAGTCTCGGGCCACAATTTATTTTTTGCTCTTTCGCGTTATCCTTTCAATTTTCGACCAATATTTCATTAGCAAGCAATTTCAGGAGATAAAGCATTATGTTCATACGTGAAAAATACTGATATCATTTAATCTAGGGCAAAAATCAATTATCAAAAACCAAAAATTGATTGCTCCCATTTCTATTTCCATACATTAGGCGTATACCAAGTAATATTTAATCAACTTTTGCTACCGAGCAGAGTAAATTAAAAAAAAAAAAATTATATTACATCCTTTTCTCTATCCTCCTTCCTAATTATCCAATTTCCATTCCATACTGTTCAAACTCAACTATCACGGGATTACCTGACTCCGATCTCGACCCCACCTGATTGCAATTTTCATATCACCGCACCTGTTCACAAAATTCATTTACCGAGAGCACACGCATACACGAGTATTAAAAAAATACAATTCGAATGTAAACCCACACTTTGCGAATACACGCGAAAGTACACTGGTGCGTGAGTTAGCGCACGTTGGTACGTCCTGCTACTGGAAAAAATTAATAGGGCCAAGTGTCAATGATACGCGTTCATAGCGTAGACTCGTGGATAAGTGAGCCTCGTATTTTTATTGCCCTTCGTTTTTTCGGTCCCCTGGGTTCGCGAGAAAAATAAAAGAGCCCGTTGCATGAACTTGCACTTGCATGATTTTTACAAGTACGAAAAAATATTGCTTTTGTTTTTGAGACTTTTTGTCACGGCTAATTGGTTTTTTAATCACAGCTTATTTTAAGAACGAATGGCTTTACCAAGCTATCAAATTGTGTATAGTTGGATACGCTTTGACTTCTCGTGAGTGTACCTTTGTAAGATCTCAGACGCACCTCAGGATACCTCTTACACTTGAGCACGTAATTTTCTCTCCCATGACTCAAGTGAAAAGCACCAGCAATGGGTTTGAGAAGAGGAGAACTTACCTTCAAAGCGAAGCTGCTCGAGCCAATGCAGAGAAGCCGATTGTAATCCGAGCTAGATACGCTGCGGCAGGACCGGCTACCCGTGAGAAGTCTGTTGAAGCGCAACTTCACTATTTCGTTGGGCTCAGCCTCAAAACGGTACACGCAACTGAAAGCACAAGTTAGGCGTGTGAGCTTGTACGATGTGTTGAACGACTCTATTTGGCGGAGTCGAGATTTTCTCCACACCCTATACCTCTACCCAACTTGCGTACTTATGTATATATATAGACTCTAATTTACTTCCTCGTTTCCTTTTCAGAGCAAATGCCTTGGCTTCATTCACGAGTACACGCACGCGAGGTAGGCTTCAAAGAACAAGCTTTATTTGCTTACTAATTAACAGGGGTTGTATTGATATATCGTAGTTTTGAGGCGTAATTTTTCACGAAATGATGTATAATATATGTAGTATTAAGTAAATTGTAGATTTGATCGTTTTGTTTATAACCAGACCTCAAGATTAATTTTAACAATTACCACAAGCATGATTGAGTAAAAGCTTATAATCTGCGCATTTCATTACTGTCAATAGTAAAGGAAATTCACTAACAGAGCTTACTCAATTAATTCAATCATCTTGATGATTTATATAAATAGATGAATCAATTCTTTTTAGTAAATCAATCAAACTCCAATCAAATTACTTTTATAATAAAAAACTGCCCATATCAGTCTAAGATATTTTCTAATTTAATTTAGTCGCTGTGAAAGACTCGTTGGATATTCGAAAAGGGACCTCATTCAAATTCAACTATAATTCCTAAAAAGTTTCACAGTAGCATACCGTACGTTAATTAACACGGAATACCATTTGATCCCGCCTGTGCCTCGTAATCCGCGTGACGGTATGTTGACTCGCCCGCTCAGGTCGTTTACAAGGGCTCGAGAAATTCCCCTGTTTCCAAGAACCCAATGAATGCCGAGATATGCTATTGTTATTTTCCATCGATTTTTTTTACGAATTGCACTTGCTTCCGAAGTTGAACCCTTAGAAAAGGTTTGGAGTCATAAACATTTATCCACGAGAATATTTATTTGATTATGTGTTCTTGCATTGGAAAAACTTTTATAAGAAGAAAAAATAAAATAACGAGATCTCGCTTAGTACAATAAGTGCTTCTTATCCCTTGCAATGACTTTGAAGTACAATAAATAACTAATAAATTGAGTTACATAAACAAGCACTTGACAGTAGGAAAAATACCTTACCCGATAGTACTGACGATTTTTTAATATCAGTACGATGCCTATCCAGTGAATTGTGACAATTAAACTACAAAAATGTTGACTCATTATTACATAATACTTGAGTATGTGTATTGTCAAATGCAAATTAATAAAGTATCTCATGTTAGCTAAATAAAAACAAAGATCAATATCAATTACATTTTTTAATGATCAATAACACCAAACGCAGCGACTACGTTATTATTATCTTGTATATCTGTATGTCCAACTTTCAAACGCTCTTGGGCATTGTTGGCTCCTATACACCGAACGATTGGTTGCTCTCCTGCATTCAAGAACTCTCCATTTCAAAGCTTAGCTAATGGACAGTGCGTATGACAGTGGTATTGACTTAAGTACCACATGCATACATATATTATATTAGGTACATTCTATCGGTCGATGCAAGACCAATTTTCAGAGTTGCGTAAAAGCCGATAGCTCTCGAGCTGGATGCTTTTGTTACGAAATAGTGTAAAGTTGAATATAATTGTTTTTTAAAGAAATTTATGGGTATGGAGGTTAAATTTTTACCATAAGTGATATAAAAATTGTATCAAAATAAAGCTAAACTGCAAGCGTTGGTAGAGCAGGCGATTACTTGACTAAGTACTGAGAAATATTATTTGGCCTTAAAGTGTAAAAAAACAATGCTGTTATCAATAAGGAGTCTTTGAAATATTAATCCACGATTTGCCTGATCGAAACGGATTGGTTTTTTCATCTTCCTATCGAATTACTGCTTTTATCGCTTTTCTTTGCATTCGACCAAGCTATCTCATTTTTTAGATGTTCAAACGAATTACGACCCGTACTTTTTATTCCCTTCTACGATCTAATGGCACTCTGGTAACGTTGAAAAAAAAAAAAAAAAAAAAAAAAAACAACAATGATCCTCTTAAATAAGCTCTCTCGTTCACGTAAGCCCCTTCCGTATCCTGTTACATTTACGCCCGACCTAAATTCTTGAAATAACTCTCGATAGAGCGAGCGTTTTCCTTTCCTTCGACCCTACTTTTTTCTCCTCTCAACTCCCGTAAACCCCCTTATCGGATATTTTAAACAAAACCACTAGCCATCGATATATAACCAAAACTATTTTCTCGCGCGTTTGCTTTAGCACACAATAAAGGTGCAGGTCAGACACTACATCGCATACTGGTAACCTTATCTACGGGGTCTGTAAAATTTTTAACTCTCTTTCTTTTCTTTTTCTCTTCCACAAATACACCACGAGGAATCACCTTAAAAGTTATATCTGTGCTCGGGCCATTGAGCGTAAGAACTCGCTCGATGGAAAAATCGCCAATCTTTAGATGCTACCATGTTACTTTATAGAATGTGCCCCCATGATATTATATTTGAATCTTTTTTTTTCATACCTACGTTTAGATAACAAATCTACTATTTTCCAATGCTCCTCGTGCTTGTTTGATACTAATTTTTGCGTCGAATAAGGTCGTAGTGGTAAAAAGTAAAGAGAAGCTTGCAACTTTCCGCGTTAAGTAGAAACAGCCAAGTAAGGTCAGCCAGTGCTCTAACTCGACATCTCAGCCATCAGTTATTTAAATTAAAATTAGTTAAAGGTAAGTAAGCAGGATTCATCTGTACTTACGAGATATTTTTCGCTCCACCACGGCCGTACATGAAGATGTTCCTCGGCGCTCGAAACTTGCGGTCAGGATAGTTGTCTCGTGTCCTACTGTAAAATACTCGGGAGCAGGGCGCGCTGCCGTAAGGATCGCCATCCTGGTACAGATCGACGAACTCGTAGAGGGCTTGGAAGTCGAGTGGCCTGTTAGCGAACAAATAATTCAACGTGGGCGTCAGTCAGTGCTTATTCAAGGTATACATGCAGTTGTACAGAAAACAGAGCATTTAATCTGTCGATAGCACTCCAAGGGGTATTTCGTATGAGACGAAAAGTTTGAAGCTACTTCATTTGCAAGCAGATATAGATTGAGCTTGGAGCTTGTGCTCGAGCATCGTTAGTGGAATTACATTGCGAAGTCACCTACTTGCATGTATGTATCTAGTTCTCCGACCCTAAAACCGTAAGCTTCAGCAACCGTGTGTACTATTTGGGGGAACTTTATTGGGACCGTGAAAGAGGATGAAACCTAAAAGGATACTCGTAAGATCCCTTGAACGGGAGTAAGAGAAACCGGTGTCCTTTGACGAAGTGCCGGAAGAGAGGAGCTTTTAAACGGATGACCTAGACAACACTGACAAAGTTGCCGGCTGTAATACTTCCTTCGGGTGGTCGTAAGTGGCTTGGCCGATCCAGTCGGAAGCTTTGACGCGGATAGGTTTCATTAGCGAAAGTGGATGTACTGCGAATTACTTGTTTGGCTATGCGTGTTATTAGAGTGTGTTACAAAAAAATTGGAAATCTTGTTTTCGTCACAAAGAACCGTAAAAATTCAGGCAATTTATAGTTTTACGGTCTTAAGTTTGATGAAGTTTTTCACAACGTTTTTTGAAATTATGACTCAAAAGGTCTTTTATATGCTCGTTATTTTATAGCAGAGTCATAAAAAAACTATGGAAAATCGAAACGACCATCGGACAAGTGTGGGTGTTCCTCAAGAAAAAAAAATGAAGGAAAGAAAAAACGAAAACTCATCAAAAAAATAACTCTTTTTTTCTCTCCACGATTCAGTGGATCGACATTTTGAAGGTAAAAATTTATCTTTTCCATGAAAAAGAATTTTGCATGTGAATGGAAGTACCGAATCTCAGCTGGGCTCCCAGCAAAGCACTTAATTCCATAAAATATACATGTAAATCCGTCTTACTCGAAGGGCTGGAGGGATATAATTCTCAGCCTCGTGATTTCATTACTACGATCCCGCAATTTTATCGGTGACAGAAATTCACTTGAATGGGGCTCGTCTCGTTTCTTTCTTTTCGTTCTTTTAAGAGCCAGAGTCGAGTTGTATTCCATTCCTTCCTCTATTACCCCTCTTATGTATGTATGTATGAAACTAGGAGAATGAAAAAAGGGAGTGAAGAAGCCCTTGTTGGTAAAAGCGAGATATCGAAGCAAAGAGAAAAGAAATAAAAAGAAGCGCGTCGAGAAAGAAAGGGGGTACAAGGCACTTGGGGGAGCGAGCACGAAGGGCCTCGGCAAAAGAGGGAGAAAACGCAGCAGGCGCGATAAAATGGAAGGAAAACGAGAATAAAAAAATAAGGAGTGGGTCGTGATATTAAAAAAAGCCGGGGGGTGGATGGTAGTGCGAGTGAGCTGCGGTCAGATGGAAAAGAGCCAGTGAAGCGTTGCGTTTTACGATCCGTAGGCTTCACGTGACTTATTTGCCTTTTGGTTCGGATAGGCATGACAGTAATAATGATTGGCTGGTCTATTTTTCCTGTAGATTTTGGTGGACTTTTATTTGGCTTGTTTTTATATTAAGGGATCATCATTTTGTGAGTGAGTAAAACTTTCACAAAAAATCGATCAATTATATTCTTTAAACAACCGAGAAATGCATCTAAATGCAAACTAACTTGACCTAGAAACTTATTTCCAATACAATTGGTCATGGTTCGTCATCAGCGGTGATGCATTCTCTTAAGACACGTATGACTCTTTATTGTTCATTGGACAAGGAATGAAAAAAAATAATAATAAATTTCCATAGAACTGGAAGCATGAAAAACATGATACTCACCTGAGAGCAGTGGTTTCAGTGACAAGTAGCTCGATGGTTAGACTACTACCCGTGGATATGAAGCTCTCGCTAAGCGAGCAGGGCCTACTCGTGTTCTGAAATATCGCGTGATCGCAGCTACGAGGCACCTTGTCCTTGCAATAGCGCGCCAGAAGCGTCGTGTTGCTCGCGAGTCGAGTGCTCGCCGTCACAGTATTACTAACACTACTTCGACCACTGCTCGCTGGAACTGGTGGGCTGAGGATGACCTTGCTCTCTTTTTCGCTGCGTGAATTCATGCTTGTTATTTTTACAGGTGTGAGTGGTGATTATACTTTTCAATAAATTATTTATGCAAATTAATATTGTGATCAATGCTGCAACCATTGTGGTAATATTTGCAATTGTTGGATGAGAGAAAAAAAAAATATAAAAAAAAAAATTAAAAAACCAGATTTCGTCTCATGCATGTCTGACCAAACGCGGTTGTGACTACTTATTTTTGTATTCAAATGGAGTCAAGCTCACCAGGAGACATCGTTGCACTCGGCTGCCGATAGGGGCATCATCTCGCCGTCCCAGATTTTTAAATTAGTCGAGCATTCGTCGGGTATGGTCGAGCTCATGCCCACGTGGAATTTGAGAACCGAAAGCCAGACGCGAAACTGTGGCTGAGGTATAACTGGCTGATTCCTGCCCCACTTCATGTCAGCTTTGGTCGGAAACTTTGGTATTGGTCGAGGTGATGTTGGAGTTGGAAAGTCCTGGCCCTCGCCACGTAAATGGTACAAACAGGTGCTGTTGCGGGGTAATGAGTGACGGGGCGACGTGAGCAGCCCACCCGTGTTGCCACGCAACCAGAACTCGCAGCGCTTGCTTCGCGTGTACGTCGTTGAGTTTGAGTCAACAAATTTTACCTACAGATTGTTGGTTGTAGGCAAAATTTGTAGTATTTTTTACATTTAAAAAAAAAAAACAAATTCATTTATGTCGCACACCGAGATTCAATAGCAAATGTTTTCTCTTGAGACTACGTCCATCAAATGCGTGTATGGATTTATACAGGTTGATTGAAATAACACGTAAAAAATGCTTGTAGCAAAAAAATTCTATTGATTCTTTTACTTCCCTAAAAAAAATTTACATTTAGATCTGTTTTTGTGGAAAGGTACATTTATCCACGAGCAATCAGCCCTGAGCACGGCTGGCTAAAAAAAATGTCTCACGTTTCTCATCCGAAATAAAAGCAGAGGACCAAGCAGTCATTTGTTCCATGCCAAGTTCGCTTCGTCTTCCGTCATTTTAGCTCAAGCTTAAACTCTCACGCTCTGAGAAAGGAATACGTGCGTAGAAACACATAACTCAGAAGAAAGCCGTCCCCCACTAAAGCATTGTGCGTCGCAAAAAATACAAGGACACTCATACACGAAAATAAGATATCAAATGGTTAGAGAAAATTTTTGCTACGTTGAGATAAAAATGCGTTCGTTATCGTGAGGTTTGCTTTTGGCGTATCAGTTACCTGCACGTCTAGCTGGAAGCCATGAAGCGAGTGGGGCGGTGATGGATGAAGAAATGTGCCGTACGGCGAGGTCGTAAATACGACCAGTAGATCTTTTCCACTGCTCGTGACTTCGGGCAAGGGCTCACCACCCCCGCAGAACTTCAGTATCACTGGCTCCATGGTATTGTATCCGTCGTAGATCGTTACGTGATCCTGTTTTTTTTTTTTTTTTTTTTTTTTCGTACAAAAAAATAGATTATTGTTTAAAGGATGAGTTTTATCTTATCTGTGAATTGTGTATTTATGCATATTTGTTTCGTTTTGTAAGTTCGTTCGACAATTCAAAGAAAAATATTACAAAGGTTTCATAATTAAAAATTTCCAGTAGTACGTGCATTTAATGGAAAAAGGAGTACAAACGTTTAAAAATATTATGAAAAACTCTTATAAATCCCGTTAATACAATTTTTATTTGACATGTGCATCATAATTAGATCAAATATTCAATGGCAAAGAAAAAATTTTAAAAATCCTCCAATGCAACTACAGCACTCAGTCTCCCGAAAGCCGCTTAAAATAAATCATGCCTTCAGATTATTAAAATGAGTGAAAACTCGGAGGATTTTCCATTGAGGTCTAAAAATCTATTGCAAAAAGTTTTAAAATTACAGCTTTTATTCCGTTAAAGAATGGTTGGTCCATGGACTCAGGTATAGCAAGGGGTTCACTTTAACGTAATATTCTATATCATGTACATGCATATTAGATACCTTGACTATATCACAGTCGTTCCAGAGCTGAAGCTTCCGAGGTGGTGGCTCTGCCTGGGAGGGCATTTTCGATCGCACCGCTATCAACTGGCCTCGGGGCTGTCTCACGGATATCAAAGGATGCTTACCCTCAGGCACTTCGTGTTGGCGAATCTGTTTAATGTTCAATGAGTCATTTGTTTTCATTTTTGCAATTTTTTCACCTCTACGTATTTGACGCAGATCCTTGTGGAATAAAGCTCACTCATCCAAGATCCCAATCGCGTTAAATTCTCCGAAAGCTATTTTACTGTTTTCAACTCAGAGTCTGTAGGGGGAAAAAACACAATGTGCTGGAAACTTTCATGAGCTACCATCTGCGGTACAAAACTTGTATTCGTTCTGAAACACACTGAGAGGTATGAAAAGCGAGAAAAATATTTTCCCAGTATACGCTAACCTCTCGACACAAAGCCGCGACTTTTGTAAAAAATTGGAAAAGAGAGCGATGGCAAAGTGGTTGTGAAAAGAAACTTGCTTGATTTATCTATTGTGTTCAGATTGGACTTCCAGATCGTCTCTTGCAAGTAAACACGATAAACGTACATCGACTTCTCACGAATCATTGACTTTTTACTAAAATTACAAACTTTCGTCAACAATGAGAAATAATTTGAAAAAAAGGGAGTAGAAAAAAGAGAGAATGAGCGATGAACAAGAATTTTAAATTTTACACATGCGAGTATGTGTTTTTTCTAAAGAATAAATTCAAGGGGAATACATTGTAGATCGTATTGGGCTGCTATGGTCAGATTTTTCTATTTTTTTGTAATTTGGTTGTACAGTATGGATGGACAAATGAGTATTCTATCTTTCGATGACTAATTTGGTGCATACCGGAATTCAGTCTAAAAAGTAAAAAGTATTTAAAATACTAAATTAGTCAACTAAAGGACCAATTGAGTATAAAGTAATAATTTTTGTCAAGTTGTTTTGCGACCATAAGTAAGAGGTGAACACCTGCAAATGACTTAAGTACTGATAGACGTTGAAAAATATAATTTTTATATAGATTCTCAGAAAACTCTTGAAATGAAATGATAAGTCTTTTAGTTTAAGCCCTAATTACTAGTAATTAGTTATTCTCTAGCTCAAAATCAATCGATCGATGAATAGCTTGAAAGGAATATTTTTGAAAAGAGTGCGCTCTTTCGAAGCTTTCAGCTCGAAATCTTTTTTTTTCATCCCTTTCATTAAGAATGGAAAATTCATAAAAGCACGAGGACGCTCTAGTTCCTTTTATATTCAGTATCATACCTTTGAATACTCGCATAATCCAATTAAGTAATCAGCTGTTTAAAAGGCACGTACAATCCGATATACTGATTTTCCACTACTTTGAACTAATTTCTTGTTGTAAATGGTTTGTTTGAATAATTAATAACTTTTTCAAGTCGGAAAAAGCTACAGAATATCAGAGATTTTTTTTTAAAGTCAATACAAATTTTTTTATAAAAACTACCAAAACAGCAGTCGTGTAGTTTCACGTTAAATAGTAATATTTTTTTGAATGTAAGCTAATTGATAGCTGAAGATTTGTAGAAAAGCTTAGGCTATATTAATCGAACTCAACTACCATAATTATTTATCAAATGAACTATTACTTCTGATTTTTAATGTTCATCTACTCTACAAAAACACCTATTCGCTAACAATATAATTTTCAAAAGAAATCTCCTACATTTCAGTTACTTGTAGCGAATAAGCGAACACACAACTTACTCGCACACACAGCCATGATAAACATTTTTTAATTCTAAATTAAACTCACCGCATAGTAACATGTTAGATTACGTGGGTAGAGTCCAGGAAAATTGGGCGACTGCAATCTGCATCTTTTTTTGTCGCAGTCACTGAAGGTTTTTGAGCAGTAGGTGCCGGAAATGAGTTCGCCCAGATACTGCTCGTTGCTCGGCCTGTTCGACGTGGGTTCCGTTTGTGCCGTAGTTGGCGTTGACCGCGTTGTGTTTGAGATTTTAAACGTTATTTTCGACGTCGATGGTTTGGTTGTTACCAATGTTTTAGATGACGCGTGCGATGATTTAACTGACGGCTCATGGGTTGCGTTGCTTAGGTTTGATGGGGTCGTTGGCGTACTTGTCGTTGTTGGCGACAATGTCGGCTCCGTTACTCCTGAAAAAAGTGTTGATTAATTTTTTCTAAATCATCGAGGTTGACATAAGATGTTGGATATCTCGAGTGACTGTTGTCATTCAATAAATTTTTAGAAATTTTACGTATTGCGCGTCTGGCCAAACTACATTTTTCTACTGATTGAATTTAACCAACTAATAGTACCTGATATCGTTTAATGTACCAAGAAGCAGCATAGTGATAACACTTTTCTTGTACATAACATGATTGATCATTTAAATGTCTGATCAAATCTGCCTCGTTCTACTTATTTGAATTTTATTCATTGAGAGTAACTAAAAGATTTTCTTCTTGCCTTGTATCTATATTTTAGTACATAGTGGCAATAAAAACTTTTGTATACATATGAGTAATGATCATTAAATATTATGATCCAGTCTGACTTGTTCTATTGATAATTTGTAATTAAATCAAACTTTTTTGTTTCATTACCAGATATTATTTAATGTACCAAAAAATTTCATTCTGATAAAATTTACACGTAATATTAGTGATAAGTGGAATGTCCGACCACATCTATCTCATTATACTTTTGCTTTTTATTTATTTAAAAAAAATAATAGATCTTTTTTTGCTTTACATTGTTTAACTTACTGGCCAAAAATATCATGACAACAACATTTGTTTTCATACGCAATGTGACTGATTTATGAAACGTCTGACCAAATCAGTTTTGTTCTACTGAAAATTATAATTCATCAAAATGAGAAATAATTGAACAGCTAGGTATAAGGTTATACGATGAGAGCATGCACTTCATCGTAATTGAGGCAACATCTCACGATTCTATTTGAACATTTAAAATTCAATGTATAAATCCTAAGCACTAGCAAAGCTACCCCTACCGCGCCAACTTACCAACAAAAGGATTGACGTATCTGACAACAGCATCGGCGTGGCGTATCATCTTGTAAGCCATGCGAAAGTCAAAGTTAAAGCCCGTTTGGTCTTTGCTGAGCCTCAGCAAGCGCAAAGTCATCGAGACGCTCGAAGTTTCGCTGTAGTAGTTGGTGGGATCACGCGAAGTGCCGCACCAGTGGCCACCAACGTCCGGCCTATTCAGCTCTGAGATCTGGAGCGAGCCATCTGGACAGCCAGCTGCTGTGAACGAGGTGAACTGGCCCAATGTGAAACTGTCAAAGGTCATCTGAAATTTCGTAAAAGTGGTCATTATCGTCTATGGAGAGTGAAGCTTTTTGATTTTGAAAGACAAATGGTTAAATTTTCCTTTTTTTCAACCTTTTAGGATTAGACTCTTTTTTGATGAGCAATTGGCTGCGGTAGGTAGAAAATAAAGTTCATTTTCATGCACAATTTCGAGTGAACAAAAAAGATGTTGATGAAGCCAATAACTCGAGGCAGAACAATGGATAAAAGAGAAATAGAAAATAAGGAAAGAAAAAGAAATAACTTCACAAGCGGGGTTCACCTATTACGGAATCAACGATCGAGCGACGACCTACTTACCCCGTCTCATCTTTAGAGTAACAAAAAGGGGAAAAAAGAAATACACGAGAAAGGAGGGGGATGAAAAATCACGTGGAAAACAGTGGATGAGACAAAAAGGTGCCGTCTGCGAGAGAAAGACTCGAGTAGTGCTGGTGGCCCACATAACGTGACACTCCTGAGCTTGGAAGATGGAAAAAAAAACTTGGGAGAAAACGGGAAGGCCACGTGCATACGTGCTCTCGACGACAAGAGTGTGAACTTTTTGTTACAGGTACTCCCGGAAAGTTTTACGCATGGAATGTCTATAAGTATGTGTACTATAGCGAGGGAGAAAGTTTTAAATGTATGCTCGAGGATGCTGGAGTGGAAAATCGCGAGGAAGTAGTAATCAAACGGATTCTTTCACGTAACAGTGTGAATGAGTGTATATTGAGAGATTTTGTATCTACTGTTGCAGTACAAATATTTTACTTTTTTTAAGGTGTTGAATTTCAAGGTAAAAAGAACATAAAATAAAATGTTAAGTATATATACTTGTATTTTCATGAGAATACATTTTCGTAGCGTAATTAAAGTGAAATAATAAAAAACTTTTTTTTTTCAATTTGAATGAAAGAGACCCTTTATACAGTTTATTGGTATTCAGGAAAAAATAAAAGAGTAGCCTACTGGTGGAACCCCAACTCCTTTTATACCCATGTGATCGTGAGTGTCAAGCTGTACTACTTCTCGGAAACTGCTGATGCAGCTTTTCGTATGGTGCTTGCTTATATAGCGATCGAATGGATGCTGTTTTGATGACCAAAGTTAGTGATTTACAGAGTACGTGGAAACATGTGAGGATATAGTGAAGTCATAAAACTAGTGCTTGATTTAAGTTCATCTTCTGGATTGAAAAAAAAAAAAAATAAATAAACAAATAATAACAGTTGATGACATTGAAAACAAGTGTTAGCCAAAGCACCAGCTATTCACGATCGGAATGAATATTTTGCAAAAAAAGGAAAATAAAAAAGAGTAATGGAAATGTACTTGTGCTTTAATACACTTACTTACAAGCGTCACAGGGGAGTTGAGTGCTGTTGGCTATGTCTTACCTGTACGATGTCGCCGAGCTCGCCACCTGGTGCACTGAATGTCAGCCTACATATGTAAGGCACCTTGTCCTCCTTGGGCCTGTGCAGCTCGAGCTCGTAAGTCTTGCCAACGTCGCCGTAGTACGTCCTATTGCAGGCTGCAACATCCAAAACAAGAAAAAGAAGGTAAAACAAAGCCCCCAAAGTCTCCATCTTGATCTTTTTTTATTCCAGTCCCCCTCGGCTCCCACTTCTTTTACGCTTCACTCCCTATTTGCTCCCCTATCGCTCGGTCCCCATCGTATAAGCTTTAGCGTATAATTCCATCCTTCTTTTCTCTCTACCCCTCTTTTCCTCGGACGTGATTTATACGCGTGTCCTTGCAGTACCACCGGAGGAGCTATAGGGTGTGTGTATGGGTGCCGTAACTCTTTTCGCTGATACGAGTGCGGAGTGCATGACCCTCTTTCTCTTTTAGTGTTGCCACTAATTTTCTATTAGAGCTTCGCAGCTGCTCGCAGAGCCAGCCAACCAGCCGGCACTTTGGAAAATTGACTCGTTTGCGTTTTGACAGCTGGAAAGTGGATTTAAGACGAATGGGAGACACTATCCCAAAGATTTTCAAAATTATTTATATTGCTTTATAACTCAGGGAATTTTTTGCTTGGTTATCGCATTTGTTAAACACGTTTATCTCTGTATTTCTCAAAAGGTACGAGTATACTTATATGTTATGCGTTTATTATTTATTTACATTTGGTGGAACAGCTCATTTGCATTGTTTACTTTTAAATTTAAGTTTTTAGTCAAAGCCTTTGAGACAATGTTATATTATTTTTGTTGAAACGCGTTAAATGCAGAGCCGTTCGAAAAATACGAAATAAATAGGAGTCTATTGCATTTCAAATTTTGCACGTCGCTGGTGTAGATAAAAACTGAGTAGTAGTAAACTTACCATGTTTTATTTTTATTATGGAGATAGGATATAAATTTTGGCGTAGAGAAATTATTGTAAATGGCTGATTAATCAAGTATTGTTATTTTTTTCTTTCTTAGACTATAAAGAACTTCAGCTTCTTGTAGGGTGATATTGTGTAAAAACGAGGTAATCTAATTATAAAATTGAAAAAAAAAAAAAAAGAAACTTGCATAATCGACAATAACCATTTCAAGTATCTCACGAGATTCGTTACAAAACAAAATTCCCAAACACCAACATATTAAAAAAAAACTGCAGACACATCCCATGTGCAGCGCACCCCCAATGACCGTTCAATTTCACGCCACCCTAATATCATAACAAGGAAACTCTGTGAAAATCTTAACAGTCACGGCTTTATCGTTCCCTTCAATCGCAACGAAAAAAAAAATCCCCTACATCAATCCTCCCCGAAACTAGAAGTGTAATCCAACACCAGCTCGACTCCCCCGTAGGCACCTCAGAGACCGCCAATCGGTTTACCCCGACCCCAAGGCCAGTTACTATACATATACCTTCGCACACGCAATGCCCGCTTCCCCTTGTCGCAAATGGAATTAAGGTGCGTGCACTGCCGTGTATACACACGTACCTTCATCGCGTCAAGCTTTTCGATTCGCATTTGATTTCCCTGGGAGCGTATCGTAGCCCGAATTACCGATACGAGTTGTATGGGTTTTGCACGAAAAAAAAAAAAAAAACAGTTGCGTGAGTGCTGGTTACGTGCCGAGAGATAGGGTTGTTCAGGCAGCTGGTTTATACGCAGTTGTAAAGCTTCCAGGTCGCGGTAATGCGAAACCGCTCTCGTTGCGCAACGAGTTCAATTGCGTGTTTTATTAACAGAGAAGAAGCTTAGTGGTGTATGCCTCGATGCTTTTTGACAGGCTCGACGCACTGATTTCATCTCATTTACGCTGATTTCTTATTTTCGTTACACACACGATACTCCTGTTAAATTATCATTATCTGTAATCACATCATCAACAAAGTGATAACAACAACAAGACACCAGCTCTTTGCTTTAATACATAACACTCCCATTAACCTCACTCAGCATCCAAATAACTACAGGATACGACGCCAAAAGCGTCGACGTAAATGCTTCCGAGGGTATAGCACCAAACATTATTAAAGCACTAGCAGGAAAGGAGAGAAGAGACAAAGGAGACGTGAGCGAGCATCCATCCTGTCGAAGGAGACCGGTAATAATCTCCGAAGACGAGGAGGACGACAACTATCCCGTGCGTTCTTACCACTGCCTCGAGAAGCTGCGGGAGGAAGAGCTCCTAATGGCTGGTAACGGCCACTCTACATCCTCCTTTTACTGAGACCACAACTCAACCCTAGGGATCTCCAAGAGAGCAATCTATCGATTATACAACGGGGGACGGCATTAGAAATCGTGCACACCCGCTTAGATCTCTACAGCTCTAAGTGTTTGGTATTCCAGTTGAGCTCTGTGTGTTCGGGGGTTATCGCATCTAAAATTCCATCTGTCCGTATCTCCAATGTTTAAGCTTCTTTGAATTCATTCGTGCATTTAGAGCAAGTGAAGAAGATTTGTGACTTTTTTTTTGTTATTCACTTGTAAAAAGAAATTTTCTTGATAAATGTATACTCAATTTAAATTTCCACGATGAATTTAAAATGTCTCTAGCAGCCGTACGTTTATTCATGCACCTCGTTATTTACCCTGTGATCCTGCACTGCAAGAAATACCGTGAAAAAGACGCAAAAGTATATTTCAAACGCGTATCGCTATTGCGCATATTACGCGCTTCAAGCAGTCGTAAACGAAAACATTTAGTTATCAAACGAACGAAACAGCCGTGACAAAGTGAGCAGGAAGCGAGAATTTCAAGCAAATAGATGTACCCGTGCATAACTTTGTCGTTGTCAAAAGGGAGCACTGTGTCCTCTCTGACTGTGGAAATTATTTTCTTTTGTCGAGAGAAATCAGCCGCAACTGCTGACACTCGCGAAAAAGACAAACGTGTTTTCTGTACACCCACGCCTGTTGACGAAGGACGCAAAAATTTCTTCTACCTCTCTGAATTTCATTCAAGCAACTTTACGTGCAAACTCTTATGTTTATGCTTTGTGGTAGTGGCAGAGGGTCTGGGGTGGGGGTGTACATAACAAAATATAAAAGAGACTCTTATGGAAGAATAGTGGTCATGACGTATCATCATTTTCCATCATAAAATGATGAAGATGGAATTCTTTATCGTTGAATCAACTTAAGTACTCATGTATGAATTACCTATTAATTTATCTCGTGTGTCTGACCAACGATTATTCGTTTGGCTGCTTAACGATTAAAATTTGACCAATAAATAATAAAATTTAATCTGATGATCGAGTCATGGTGAGCACTGCTAATAGATTTTATTTTCCGATGACAAATTTAATCTTGCTTAAATTTGATTTATCGTTCAGTGATCACATGAATACTTCTATCATGTCTGATTAATGGTTGACTCGCACTACTGCGCATTAATTTTTTATTGATCGATGAGTAGGGCATGCCAATAATTGGCGTATTAAATATCAATTTTTAAACCCAATATCCACCTAAAAGACTCCCGAACAGAAAATATGAGATCCTTATAAAGGCTTTAACCAAACTTCGCGAAAATCCTCCTAAAAGTAAAAAAAACTAGCGATCCTCATCTCGTGGATAAAAGACAAACGAGCCCAGCGGGAAAGTCTCCCCCCTCCCCCTCCCGAGTGCACTCGTTTGCCGATTGGCATACAGCGCACGTTCCTTTCTTGCTTCGCGATTCTTTGAACTCTCTATTTTTGTTTCGCATGTATACCTTTTGCCGGAGTCGCCCTTAGTTTTGACCTCGTCCTGTAATAATCCAAAAGTTGTTACATCTTGCCTGTGACTCTAACTATGTAAAACAATTACATGGCTTATAAGATCATAGGATTCAATTTGATTAAAAAATGTCACTTTTATAAAGATTTATTTTAGTTTGTTTGATATATTTGTACCCAAGGAAATGTATTATAGGTACATACCGATGAATCTGCAGTGATTCGAGAAAAATAAATCATCCCCTATAAGTCAACAAATTAAAATGACAGTACTAAGTTGCGTTTGGTTAAATTTGTTATCAATGGAATCAAACATATTCTCTGTAAATAAACATGTTAATTCAAGAAGGTTTTCACCGCTAAAATTGAAACAGATCAAACAGCACATTGACATCACAACCCGAGCACAAGTCTTCCAAAATTCAGTAACAAACTCGTCAGTGCGAAAAATTCGCTACTTCCCAAGCTGAATGCAAAACGGGAAGGGAAAAAAAAGCGGGCACTTTCAGTCGACGAGAAAATTAAAAAATAAGCAAACAATAAAGCAAAAGGCAGACGCCGTACCAACGACTCTCCATCTCATTCTTCTCCTCCCGTTTTCCCCTTGGCGCAGCCACACCACCACGTAAATTTCCGTCCACGATTTCACCCACCCTGTACACGCATCCCGCGATCTGTGCGCATATATTATAACCAACGCCACCTGCGCGCGAGCTGTACTCTCGTAAAGTAGCCCTGGCAGCGTAGCTCGGCATGGAACGACAATGGGAAATAAGATGGAAGCGCAGAGGAGCAAGAGAAGAAGGGCTAGAAAGGGGATTCTTCGCTGTCAAGGATGTATACGAGAAGTTTTTCTCCCGGCTTTTCGGCGATTTATAAATATTTGAGAACTTTTGCCCTCTCTCTCTCTCTCTCCACCTTCTTTTTGTTGGGCCCACCGAGTTCTCGATTCATTCGTCTGTGGGCGTGATTTCTCTTCTTCTTCTTCTCCTCCACTTCCGAAGCTTGAAGTTTTAAGCTTTGCTGCGTGAGAGTTACTGCATTTTCTACGGACTTGGGTTGCGCAACTTTTCGGGTAATATGATTTTGTGTACTCTTGTTTGGCGTGGCTCTGGTTTTTCTCTCCCATTTCAACTTTATAATGCAACTTCTGTGCACCCGTAGCCATACACTTCCCATGGAACAATAGCGCTGCGTGCTGCTGCTGTTCTACTACGTGAGGATTGTTGTAGTTTGTACGAAGAGGGTGAAATCTTTTTTTTATTTTATTCGGACAGTCGTAAAAAACTTCAAGGTGTACTTTTACGACTATAGTATAGCATTTGGAGCTCACAAAATGGTAATATTTATCATCGGCAAGCGTATACAGCTCGATCGTGATGGGAACGCGTAATTTACAAATTACTTTTTAATCGCAAATGGTTGATTAATCGACACGGCTAATATTTAATTACATCTAGTTATTGGTAAACACAGCCTTAATTGCTTTTAGATGTGATTATGGATAGCTTGCATATTTACGTAGTATTAAAGACAGTGAAAAAGGTTAATTTTTCCCTCGGGCTGCAAAACAGCCTCTGTGGCGATGGTGCCTCTGTAACGGAAAATAAGCAGCTCAGAAAAATTGAATGTTTCAACAAATATATTTGAAAGGCCCATACTTTGCTGAAAATGTTACATTATTTGCATGCACCTCGAACAGTGCTCAAAATCTATAAAGCTCAATATTATTTTCGTACAAATCACTTGTTAATCTCGCCATATCAAATGTATGTGTAGCAGCACACCTAGACATAAACTTGGATGAGAAAATTCGTGCTACGTAAGATCCCAAGCCAATCTTTCCTCTTTATTTGCCTCGTTTGATTTACGCTTTATTAAGTTTAGCAGTCTGCTTAGAGTAAATCGACAGAGATAAAAGTAGAGTAGAGAGAGAAGGTTTCCAGATTTCCCAAAAATAGAGATTATTCGCCAGGTAAATGTGCAAATAACAAGATCTATTTTCAATGTATTAACATTTTATTGCAGTTTTAGTGGCATACAATGATTGTACGTATATTTGTGTGTATCTAAATTCATACCTAGGGGATTTATTTTGGAAGAGCCAGGACAAGCTATGTGCTCAGCTCCGAGCTTTATCGCGTGCGAGCCGTACGTTTACCCCCGAGCTTTTGATGTTTGTATGCGCAAACACGGGAGCACATAGAGAGGGGGTGGGACGCAGTAGTAGATTCTAGTAAATATTTTTGCTCTGTGCTGACGATAATTCAATGCAAACATCGACTCCTCGATTGATGCGTGTACGGTAGGTGTACGTGTGCACTGGGCGAGAGTTTTGACACTTCGTCCGTGACTCGCTCGCTCCATGAGGTGCTGGTAATAAGAGATAATTGTACAACGCACTGCTGTTATCAATGGGAATTTCGAGTATTGCTTTTGGTGTTTGGATTCTGATGTACATATACTCGAAAAAAGTTTCACAATAAACTTAAGTTTAACAGGACAAATAGTACCTTTGAGCAAACGTTTTTATCTTACTAATGCCTCTAGAACTACTTCATGCCTATTCAAAAAAACTTTTACTATCTATATTTTTTTTCTCTTTAATTGGTATTATAACTGCATTAACTTTTTGTTTAATTTTCTTATTATTAAATTAAAAAACACTAGCAACTGTTTCGCTCTAAGCCGTACAGTTTTTGCGTGGAAATTTGAGTTTCATTAAGAAAACGTTATTTAACTAAGAATAAGCCAATTATCTCCAATAAAGTTTTATTAGCCGTCAAGGTTGGCAATTTCATTACATCATCACAGAAGTTTGTTGCAACTTAGTCAATTTTAGTTCAAAAATTATTTTACGCTCTTGGAGGCACACGGAGCATAGAAATGTTCATTTTAGTAAGGTGTATTGAAAAAGATGTTTTTCTAATTTCAGAGGTCTCTTAATCGATTTTCTTGTAAATTAGTATTTTTTTTCTCTGTAAAACCAACCTATTTTTTATTAATAAATTTATTTACTTATGTATTTATTAGGATGAGAGCAAGGCTTTAGTTCTGCTTGTAACTATAAGTTTTCTGTAGTAGCGCGTCTGAAACACGAAAATACTGTTTTGGAAAGTTTCCAGCTCCCCGGATGTGAATAAATCGCTTTTCCTCCTTCCTCAACAATTCCCTGTTCTGGGCATCGATTTTCGAGCGAGAAAATGGAACCTCCAGAGAATACAATACTTTCTACAGATGTATATCCAACGTAAAAATTAATGGGAAATGTTTGTATCTTACCTTACATTTTATGTATTATTTTGTTTTTAAGTTGCAAGACTGTTTTGAACCGAAACCTATTAGTTGTTATCGTTAAAAAAATCATAAATGTAAGGATGATTTTGATTTACTATCTCAAACGTGCATTTCAGAGCCAATGGATTAACTAGAAACACAACACTGCAGCTCATAATGTATGATGTATGTGGCCCAACGGATCATAATCTACTATTCGATCCTTTACATTCAGACCTCTGATTTCGATAACGATATTTCTGTTATTTACAGGAACAGCAGCCGTGTGCTGGAATCCGGAAATTATCGATTACTATAGGGTCGTGGTCTAATATTTCTCAAGAACCAGATTTTCCCTGCACACGCGTACGAGTACGTTAGCGAACGAAATTGAGTAGAAAATCACGTTGCTTTCCTGCCACATCCAACACTTGCATTGAGCTGTATAATCATAAGGTTTCACGCGCACCATAAACCTGAAAAAAGTCAATTTTATTGGATAGAACCATACGGATGGCTTAGCTCAATCGCTGTCACGAATAAAGTGTGCAATAAATGTGTAAATGAAAATTTGCACTTCTGAAAGTAAGGTATGAAAAAAGGACAGCAAGTGCCAGGCACTCGATTAACTTTCAACAGGCTCTGTTGTGCTTGATAGATGCTCCGAGAAATAGTGGAGAAACTCCTGTTGTACAAACTTTCCCGATTACGCGTAGGAGTGTACAGAGTACTATTCTTTTCGTCATCTTTGTTATCATCATATTCAGTACAAAACGTTTTCAGAAAAGCCTCATCATACTTAGACTGTTGGCAATTTGACTGACAACTTTGGGCTTATCTTATCTTGAAAAATTTTAGTACTGTTAACTTGCTACTTTCTCTTGTCTCTTTTGCTTTAATATACATTATTCATCTGCTTATTTGTTCTTCCCAACAATTCTTTTTTTTTCTTCATTAAAAAAATCACATTATCGGAAGGAGCAAAAGAAGTACGGCAATTCAATTTGGAAAAAAATAATCCATTAAGTCAAAAAGAAAGCATCAAAGTTTTTTAAGCTTTTACAAAAAATTAGTCTTATTTGGCAGGAAGATTTTTTATACATAAATAAGATGGCATCACCGTTAAAAGCATCGATTTTACATATAACTCGTTGAGTATATTTTTTCAAGCTGATACATATATTTGTCAATCCCTAAATATCATAGGAGTAATTAGTTATCTTTACTACAAATTGAAAACAAAAAAATTTCAAGAAAATTTTTTAAAATACAATGAAAACCCTCTAAATAAAACAAAATAATTTTTTTATCTGTTGTCTTTTGCAACCAAAGCATCATTTTTAATTATCAAAAAAATTACGACGTGCGCAAATAGTTGGACAAGAGTTTTTATTTTTATTTAAATTCAACAATTTTCACAGAGACGAAAAATAATGAATTACAGGCTCTTCACTAACTTTATTCAACCTTCAATATTTGATAATAATTCCTCGGATACTCTTGACTTTCAAGAAAATTTCAATTTCAATTCCACGTAGGAGTGTTCAGGGGCCTATGATTGTCGTTGTCTTTATCATCGTTATCTTCACAAATGTCGTCATCATTTTTATGGAGGGAGACAAAGTTGACATAGCTGCACGTAGCATCGACGATCGTACAGTCACACACCGACTCTGGCACAATCGTCCCAAGGTTTTGTGTACTTCTTACCTCGTTCAGTCTCATTGCTACCTTTGTAGTTGACGGTCATACTCGTCTTACCGTGTTCATTTATTTCATCGTTGTTCTTCAGGTGGTATTTTCTGTCCAACAGATACATAAAGTATTGGAGATAATCATGACAGCGGAAACACCAAGGGCGTATTTTGGCGTCAGCATGCAGTGGATCAAGTACATGCTATGCGCTCTCAATCTTATTTTCATGGTAAGTAGGGTTAAATTACTAAACAACGCTTGTTGCTAAAGTAAACCAGTATTTTCTTGGTTATGTTTTATTAAAAAATTACTTTTTCGATAGCTCATACGTTGGTACACCTACTAGGCAAGTTTTTCGTGATTGTAAATATTTTAACTCCATGGGAGATAAGTAGATCTTGAATATTGAACTAACAAGCACTTAAATCACGCATAAGCGTATATACAATGCGTCCGTATTCTCAAAAAACCAAATAATCAGCAAAGTAAGAGTACCAACTTACAAATCAGCAAATAAGACATTTTTCAACATATGCCTTACTACGCACACATCATACATGCATATGAAATGAAATGAAAGCTTAGAATCCAACTATATATACATGTCACGTAAACATGATTAATTCTATTTTTTTTATCCTAGTAAGTTGATAAAAGTAGTGGGTTGGGTCTTAAGTATTTTTATGCTTTTGTCATACTCACAGTGTCTAAAGGCATTTTTCATTTATCAGGTGAAAAAAGAAAGAAAGATTTGCTGTACATTAGTTGTTAACCGACTCGAGCGCTCATAGTTATCTTTATAATTAACACTCACTTGGCAATACATTTTCGTAAATATGTGTGTGAGCGTAACTTTTTAACTTCAACTTTTATGATTTTTTGTAAATTTTTAAACCCATTCAAAAACTAAAGAATATTTATTAGTTGCTTTACTACCCAATCACCGCGTATTGTGTATAAATTTGTCCGATGATGTCGATGTTAAGAAAAATATATATTCCTATTTAATCTGCGTTAATGGTAGGAAATCAAGTCATCGCGAAATATTTACAGTCATGAAATAATACGGATTAAATGTATGTACACATAGTGTATAGATGTACTCTGCATATAATTATACGTTTGGCAGCCATGTGTCATGCGAACTTTCACGACGAGCGGGCCCGAAGTATATGGTACTTAAGGAAAAAAGTGATAAGCAAAGTTTCAAAAGAATCATTTATGATTGACAAAAGTAATACTTTCACTGTAAAATAAACTTAAATTAATTATCGATCAGAAAGAATATTGATAAAAAAATGAGGTTAAATAACTTTTAGTTCAGACTACAAATCCCTCGCACTAACAATAAAAACTAAAATCGTTCGTTTCTTTTCAGTTTTCGGGTGCAATTGTGATTTGCATAAGCTATTACTTGTATAAGGTGAACGACATATTTTTATACTTCTTGGATTCATTCTACGTCTCTCCCGCGGCCGTTCTTGTCACTGCTGGAGTACTCATCCTCGTCATTTCCTTTTTTGGCTGCATTGGTGCGCTCAAGGAGAGCACTTGTATGGTCCGTACTGTAAGTATACTTTTTTTTAAAAACTTTATAATTTTATCTTTGTCAAGTATATCCCAACGTAAAGAATATTATTTAATGTATGACTCTTTTTATTATTTACAGTTTGCATTTCTTCTGGTAACAGTGGTTATACTTGAATTTGCAGCTGTAGTGACTGTCCATGCTTTCCCACAATACGATTTTTATCGTCTTTTGTACAATAACATTCGTAAAGCCATGAAATATTACTTCACTATTCCTCAGGCTCGGGTTGCTATGGATTCATTACAAAGAGGGGTAAGAAAATACATGTCAAACATAATATTGCATTGCTAGGAATACTATCATTGTACTTTTGGTGGGCCATATACATTTTAGCCAAGTGATATACTTCAAAAAAACTCTTAAAAATAGCAAAACGTGAACATGGAGAATAAAATTAGTTTAGAAGTTAGTTTTTTTTCTTTAAACCGCACTAGTGGTGACTAGTTTTATCACTTTCTGGTTTAGGTACATTTCCGGCATTAGAGCGACTTAAATGAGAATTTATTTGTGCAATCGTTTACATAAACTCTTAACTACTTCGATTGATTATCTCACGTCTTTGTATATTATTTGTTTGTTAAAATTGCTATAATTACTTGAAACGTATTTAGTAGAATGTAAACAATAAAAGTAGTTGTATCTATATTTTTTTTAAATCCATATTTTTGGATTGCTCCTAACATGACCATTAGATCAGGTTCGTATTGAACTAACTCAAAAATATAAAGAAACTACTATAGGATATAAGTAATTTCTGGGTCACAATAGCATAATTGTAAAAGTAGATCTAACGCACGAAAGTACGATTTATTTTTCTGTGATTATAATACAAATGATATGTTTACAGTTCCAGTGCTGTGGATTTGATGGACCGCAGGATTGGGATAAAGTAAATCAGAGACTGTTATTCCTCTATAGGCCAGTTTCATGTTACACGGATCCCCTGCCGTTCAAAGCCCAGAGCCTATTTAATCAAGGCTGTTTTTATGCATTGGCTTCTTTCATAAAACACAATGAAGTTTACATTATCACCGGAGTCACAGTGATTTGTTTTATTCAGGTGGATACATGTGCTAATATTTCATTTATTTTTAGTTTTTATGTTTTGTTATATAATGGCTAATTTTTTAGATCGCAGGAATAATGAATGCCTTCAGTCTAGGACGTATGATCAGGAGACAAAAAACATTACGAGAGATGCGCAAGTGGCAGGAGCGAACGACCTTATCCAGTTTTGATGAGTCCATTGCAAAAGTACAGAAAGTTGACGCACTTTCAGTATCATAAAGCGTATTCTGAAAATGTTCCCGGAAAACTATACGACAACGTTTAAGTTTATCAAGAAAATTTTTAAACATTACGACCTAACACGTTTTTTCTAAAATATAGTTGATTAAAAAGTAATGAGATTCTGTTTTGATTGCTGTGAAAAGCGCAGTCTCGTACGTAATGTCTATAATTTTTCGAGAACATATTTAGAACACTTAATGTAGAGGGACGATTATGCATAACTTATTTTTAGTGTGAAACATTATTTTTTACAATTTTGTAGTACTAACTCATATTGAAAAGACTCGTAAAAAACACAAGTCTCAGATGCTAAATTACCTTCTAATTGACTTCTGCACTTGACAAACATCTTAAGAGTAGCAGAAGTACACGTGTGGTAGTTTTCTCAATAAAACTTTTTCCAATTCAACGCTGGAGGCTAAATATTTTTTTTTATTTGTCACGTCGAGTTCTTAAAAATTTGGAAGTTAAATTGATGCACGTGCACAAACTTATTAAGTACTAACTGAATTTTATGTAATGGAAAGTGTAATAAAATAAATATGTAGAATAACGACAAATAAACTTCCTTTTTACGATAAAAAACTCTCAAGTACACTAGAGTATTATTAAAAACATTGTATTTGGAAACCGCGGTTACCATCATACATTTCATATTTATTATAAACAATATCGAAACACTTTTTCAAATAACCAAAAAAACTTCTTATGCACTGCCAGTAAGAAGAAATATACATAGTCCCTGTCACGTAGCGCAGGGCAAAAAAAAGGTTAATCGGCATTCAGGTTTCGCAAACGTCTTCCGAGAGACATACTTTGAGGAGCTCAAGCTCGCCTGGAATTCAATTTACATAGGAATGAAAGCTTGAGTACAAATCCTCATATTATCATCAGTCCCCGCACAAACGTTAGCTATTCACCCGGTGAAGTGATGGTTTAGTGACGTTTTGAAGCATGATGGATGGCACACTCATTTGCTCGTGAGTCATCATTTTTCGAACATCGTATTCATGCAAAACCGTGTTTTATAAATTCAATCGTGCAATAATACACTATTGAAAGACAACAAACGACAACAGAAACACTTGAATTGTAAAAAAAATCAAAGAGTAATTTTTACTTCACTTCAACATCAAAGTGGTTATTTTATGTTTGGAAGTACATTCTCACTTTTTTCAGAGAAAAGCATAAATTTTCTTTCTCGTTAGAGTGTTATTATTGTTATAACAGTCACACTAAATGACTCGAGTTTTCCTAAAATATTTGCTGAGCATGAAAAAAAAAAAAAAAAAAAAAAAAAAATCCGTAAAGTAATCACACGATGAATACACATTATACCTCGAAAGCTCACGCATTGGCAAAGCTCGCACAGCAATATACAGAAAATAGGAAGTGAACAGAACACAGTGCGCACGCAGAGACATTAGTTACATTAGCACTACAGCTGCAAAGTAATAGAATCTACACACAGCCGGAATGGGCTAAGTAGTATAAGGCCATTACAGTCAGACCGAGTCATTGAACGCGGGGGCCGATTCAATGGGGGGTCTCTGTGCTTGACATTACCAATTCCAAAGTCAAACGCGGAAACTTAGTCCTAGTGCTAAGAGAAGACACAGAAACCCGCACATAAAGCATTCGGTACACGTACCTACACATACTTCGATACTGCACATACACAGTTCGACGGGATAACATCCAAAACTGTGTAAGTTTGTGCGACGAAGCAGTGGAGTGGTTGTGCGAATTAAAGGAGCACACGCATACGACTTTCTCTATCTCTCTCTCTCTCTCCCGCATGCACACAGGTACCACCACACAGCCCCGTGTACGTGCTCAGAAAGGCGGTTGACCCAAATGCCGATCCCTTGGCCGCTCGCCAACTCTCAATGTCCGTTAGTTCGTAGACCTATCTTCCTCGTCGTTCGTTCTCCACTTTGCTCGTCCATCCTCGGGTGTGGGAGTACGTGTGCTTGTGTGTGTACGTAAAACGCGACCCACATGTGTAACCTCAGGAATACACACACACACACACACACACACATACATGTACTTTTTGCTTGACCACAAGTACTAGGACGCAGGAGGTGCTAGGCTAATGCATAAACGCTCTGGTTGGTACGGATAATTCGTACGGACGAGGTTCAAAGAAGCACAGCAGCGAAACTTTGCTCGCACTACTCTTGGCCACCTGTGTATACGTGTGCTTTTTCGTATGGGTGTTTGCACAAATGCCCGGGAGGGAGCCTTTTTGTCGAGGGGTTGGGGAAGCTCAGGGATGCTGTAGCGGCAGAGGCGCTGGCGCGATATCAATTTCGAAAGGCTATAAATCAAATGCTCAGAGGCACTGGCTTTCCATTGCTGCTGTGTGCCCTTTCGTACTTGCTCTCTGTACGTATACTGTACGTGTACGCGTCGACGTGAGTGTGGGTACACGCTCTATCTTTATCTCTTGCGCAGATTACAGATCCCCTTGCCCTTTTTTTTTTTTACCTCCCCTGTATCTATTTTTTTTCCAAAATAATGGGTTTTCGGCAACGATTCCATTCGCACGTTACTTTTTTCGCGTTGGCAATTTTTTTTTTTTTTTTCCAACGTCAAGTGTTAGCGGTCGTAGCCTGCCAATCGATACTTACGTGTTACTTTTTACTCTCGTACATACAGATACGGGGAAGAGTAGGAGACGAGGCCATATAAATTTGGCAAGCACCGACCGCGATGATCTCGCTCGCTCAGCTTTAAATTGATAAATGAATAATGGATTTTGATGCGGGAATTGGTGAAAAATTACACGTTGGCTATTGTACATTAATTTTTTACATCCCTTTACATTTTTTCTCGTGATAGGGTAAATAACGCTTTACTGCAAAATATTCATCGATGGATAATTATTTTTGATTCTATACATTGTTTTTAAGCTTTAGAAATTCACCAGAGTTTAAGCTTAAGGCGATGTTTATCCGACAAAGCACGACTTGGCGTCCATGTACCATATATACACCTACGTAATTTTTTCCGGATTGCAAGAGCATAATTTAGACGTGGACGTATTCGAACCAAAGAAAAGAGGAATAAACGGGCGGGAGCTTTTTTCCCAGCTCTAGCTGCTAGCAAAGATAAATAAAATTTTTATTCCACCCTAACTCCTGTTTCCTTTTCCAGCGAGTCGCTGCGCATAAGTTCTTTGGATTATGAGCTCGGCAGGTATAGGGCGGGTATAAAGTGAAAATACTCGGATCGTGGGAAAGAGTTATCTCGCGCTGTCAGGGGCGTCAAATATGTGATGTGTGTGCAAGAGTACCAGCTCACATTTTTATCTGGGTTTACGGGCTATGTGCGGTGGTTGACGCAGGCTCAGTTTTCAGCTCAAAGGGGCATGAACTCGTGACTGCTAATTTAATTGGACGGGAGAGGGTCTGCAGGAAAAAAAGCTCGTTATGATCGCTTACTGATGTTTCGTTTGTATGCAAAAGTGTGCACGTGCACGCGAGCATCGCGGTAGGTAAATTGTTGGCCGATGCTTTTAACGTTTAAGTGCATCGGCAAATATTTCATTACATTGTACTCATGTTCTCGCAGAGTACAAACACCATGTAAAATCAGAGTGAATGTAAACATCGCCATCTCGTTTCTATGGATAATATTTTCTCTTGAATTTTTTTTTTTTTTTTTTTTTCATTTTCGATATTATTATTCGTTGTATTATTCTGAAAAAACTAGAATTAAAAATAATTTTGACGTGCTTTAATAAACTCAAAAAAAAGGTTTTCCAAATGTCCAAACTCTAATCACCGATTTCGAGGTGTCGATAAAAAAAACCCATCAAAAAAGTTGAGGAAAAAAATACCAATGCAACTCGTTCAACTATTTTCCCCTTCATCGTTAAAAAAAAAAGCCCCAATCAGAACTTTGACACCTCCGTAAAAACGAGCTGAACCATCCCCTACAGTGCGAAATCGTACAACAACAGCAGTATAGCTCCCAAAGTTCGAGCTTTCATCCCATGGATTCCAAACGATCCATAAGACCGCAACCCATTCCTCCCCCGTATATACATGTACGTACAAGCGTTGTTGCGTACAATATGAATTCCCAACGATATTTTGATGGTAGCTCGCTTGTTTTGCCGCTGCTTCAGAGCCTCGCTCCAATTTATTGTTTTTCGCGCACGTGTAGAGCAGGCGAGCGCAATATCAATCTCAAATCGCTCGCGCATCCATCCATCCATCCACGAGCTTGAACTGTAACCAACGAGCTGTATCAGCGCCTCTGTGCCTCTCTGCACCTCGCGGCCTGTCAGCGGGAGTGTTCTACAGGAGTCACGGACGGGCTACGCTCTCTCCATACAGGTATCGCGCGCCCGTAAGTGCCCTGTACTAGCGAAACGGAAAACATCCAGAAAGATGTACGAGGCACGAAAGGGGAGAAGTAGACACCAGCTTGAGATAAAACCGTGATGAATCGTCGGTAGAGAAAGAGATCACTGAAAGGCTGTTTGTCTTGCATTAAAGGGGCTATTTTGATGTTATACTTAATTCAAGACTCTCCTGCATACCCCCCTAACACGTTGTAGTTATGGAAGACGGCGATAAATCGCGTGTACCACTGTAGTTACGACTGTGGATGGAGAGAACGTACTGATAATATTAGGGTTTCGGTGCTCTCATTCTTTATATGGTTGTCCAATGCAACGAAGCACTATTACTAAACGATATTTTCTTGGTTGCCTCGTAAATGTCAATCAAAAAAATGTGATAGATTAACACATCTCATACGCTCAAAGTTGCTTCTCTTCGACAGTATTTGCTCAAGATCATCTTACACGTAACCGTTGAACCCTCAACTATTTTCTGAATGACGTGTATTGAAAAACAAAGCAACCATCCAGTACAATCGCCCATCAAACATACGAACTGTACAAAATTGTAGTTCTCCGTCTTGATTACGGTATAGGGAAAAAAAGCTCGTCCCAGCCCAGTACAGTTTCCAGTACATGCGTTATTGGCTGCACGCGCGTAGACTTACCGCAGGATTGAGAGATAAAACAAAAATATACTTACGCGAGCACTGTGGTTGCTCGTCGCTTTTATCGCCGCAATCGTCGACGAGATTGCAGACTTTATTGAGGCCGATGCATCGGCCGTTTGTGCACTGGAACTCGCTCTGCCGGCAGGACAATACCGCCGCAACGACGATCACGCTGCCGTACAGCAAACAACACGGACCTGAAATCACAACGACGCACACGTTAATATTTTAATACTTTTGTTCGTTAATATGATAATATTTGTTTATTTTGAGATCTGTATGTATTTAATCATCGGTAAAATATAGGTTTTTTTTTTTTTTTTTTTTTTTTAAGAAAACAGGTCAGGCTATTATTGGATGATCCATACAGAGATCAAGATATCGAAATTCAGATTCTCGTGCTCGGAAATCTCGGGCAGCATAGTTTATTAATCGCACAAGTGCGTCAGCGGACCCGCTCATGTAGCGACTGTATTTCTCATGCGTTGAAAATTTAATGAAACTGGTCGAACAATTAGGTCGTACCTTCGGAGCGGGAGCTTCCCACCGAGAGGGACGCACAGGGTCAATAACTTTGTCCGTCACTTTGGACAGGTGCCATTAATCAAACCCTCTCTCGTAACGTGGAAGGGCACCAGAGCCAAATTCATCACGCCATTAATCAGTAGCCAGGTTCCGCGGACCAAGAGAGGCAATATCCAGCTCTCCCCGAAAACGTGCTTATTGCAGAGAGGAAAAAAAAAATACGACCTCGTCCGGATTTAAAAAAAAAAAAAAAAAATCGAGAAAGTAGTGCAGATGCGCCCAGCTTTAATAACACTCGTTCTTCCGCTAGCCGAAAAATTCATTATTTTCCCTCCCAGGGCGGCGGCAACGGGCGACAAGTGGAGCAAATCCTCGCCTCGTCCCTCTTCCCGGGCTCTGCTTTTCTGCGCGAAAGTTCATCTAGCTCGAGCGCCGGCAGACAGTCTGGCGAGCGGGCCAAAGGTATGATATTACATGGGTGCAAAGACACATCACAGAGGCACTACCGGGGACAGCTACGCTGCTTTGAAACTCTGTAGCGTGTGCGGGGGTGTGCGTTAGAGGTTTGTACCAGGCGAACGAGGTACAAGGAACCCAAAGACCCAAAGACAATGGACGATGAGGGGCTTATGTTGGGCTACGACGCAGAGGATGCTCACTCCGTGGTGTGAGTGTGTGCAGTATAAGCAAAAAGGGGAGGATCGTGATTAAAAATTGAAATATTATGAGCCACGCCGTTCGTGATTTTTTGGAGGTGCTCCTCGTTATTCTCTTGATAAATTTGATCGACATTCGCTCGTGTTTGTGAAAAATAACAAATAAACAAGTGGACCAAAATGTTTGATTTTACGAAAATAAACTCGTGCAATACAGCTGATACGCATAGTCAGCCAGATTCAATTTTAAACGATTTACTTACAAGATCTGAAAACTCGTCGTCTACGAAACATATTGCGTGTTTCAGACATAGCTGCTTCGCGTCTAAAAAATATAATTTGAAGAGCGAACGAGAACTGGAAATATGAGAGTAAACTCCCGAGTGCGTGCAAACATACGAAATTCTGAGGTATGAGCACAGTAAAGGAGATTTTGAGTGGAAATCGCCGTACTCGAGGTTACGATTAAAGAGGAGAGATGTAAGCGATAAGAAAAAAATTTTGCTTCGTTTTAATTCATCGTTAGTCGCATCAACCCAAAAAATACAGTATACCTACCATCAGCAATCAATTGAAATTCATTTCTCTAACAATATTCAGACTCCCCAGCGCATGATTCAAGTCAGCACACGAATGTTCGTTCGTAATTCCATTATAATGCAGCAAAAGGAAAGAACACAGCAGAACAAGAGCTTGCAAGCTCTGGCGGCCAGTATTGTCTTTCCACCTCAGCGCGCTGGCAGATCTTGCTCCAATAACTCTGTATTGTCCGAGGGTCAAGCCTCTATGTCATGCATATGTGATCGCTCCTGTCGTGCACAAGGGAACCAGGATAGTAGTAGGTGTGTACAGCTGAGGTATCACGAAAGAATGTGATAAGGGGAAGGCAAGGGGGGAGGAGGAGCACAAATACTAACAGCACAGATAAGATTGGAGCTTACAGTAGCCTTATCTAGTAATATTACAGAAAAAAAGAAGTAAACGCAATGGCGTTTGTCGTAAAAAACCAAGAATAACTTTTTTCACTGATAACTTGAATTAAAAACCAATTAAAATACTTGGAAGCTTGATTCATTTGGTCCACCTTATTATTTAAATCACAATAAATAATCCATCGATCGTTACTATCTATTAGTCTTAATTTTAAATACGAAGTAAAAATAACAGAATTCCTAATGATTATTAAAATTAAATATACACCAATTCTACTGATAAAATGCGTATTAAAATATTGTTATCGTCATCACTGTTTTTTTAGAGTAGGGCGTAACTTTCAAGCTGGTGTTTAAATTTACTCTATATTTTCATTCTCTTCTTAGTGTACTGCGCAGCATTAACGCTGTACTATCTGTGCTGTTAGTATTTGTACTAGGCTATTCGTTCTTTTTCTCTTATTACCGTTTCTGTACCGAATCGTTTAGTTGACCAATAATTTTCAAACGCAAGAGTTACCCAAATTGAGTAACAATAAGAAGATGTCAGTGGAAGCACCAGATACAAACAGCGTAGGCATGTTAAGGATCAAGTTCTTGTTATGCACACTTAACATCATTTTTATGGTTCGTATTTTAATTTTGTTCTGCAAATACATGATGCAGTGTTTTTACTTGCGGTTGTAATTTCAAACTCGTTTGTAAAATGCAAAATGCAATAAAAGGTTTCGTGTGTTTACTCAATTCGAAATGTAAATTAATACTTTTATTGCACCAAGTTTTAAACAAGACAAAAATTAATGCGTAGCACTGTGAAATAATTGATTCAATAGTGTCGGACAATGTTGATTACATTTCAAAAAAGAACTGTACATTATATGAAGCCGACAAGTTTGACTCTTACATCAAGTCTGATCCAATTGAATTTTGACAACATAATGTAAGTAGTAAGACTTATTAGCTTGGTTAGTGTACGAGAAAAAGTCCTATTCCTTCTAGAAATAAGATTTAAATCATCTATTTTGTTTAATTAAATGTAACGCAGGTTTATTACACATGTATCTACGGTGACCATCCCATCACCGGTTATGTTGCAAATAAAATTATCCTATTCATGTATCTTTTGTCATACTATGACTGAATAGTGTTATCTTCATGACTAACGCATTTCTCTTACATTTTGGTTTACATGTATGTATCACCACTGGCTCTTAATTACTCTTTCGGTAAGCGGTGGTGTGCGATATAACGCACACATTTTATCTAAACTACGTAAGCTTCAGATATAAGGTGCCGTAGCATTTTTAAAAACTGACGTTCTTGTATGCATGATAATAAATCTCACTAGAAAATATATGCTACGACAAATTTGTGTCTCAAAATTTTAATTTACAAATTAATAATCGATTATTCATAAGATTCGTCAATAGAAATTAATGTTTTCAAAAAAAGATCTTGTCCTTAAAAATAAATAATTTTCCAGAGAATTTCGTGAACCGCAATGCCGAGATATAAGATTCATGTAAAAAATAAATAAATAGAATTCCTTGGCATTGCAATTTTAAAAAAGACAAATTTATGTAGCAAAAAAAAGGGAGTTACTAAAATCTTTTAATAAAGTGGAGACAACTTCATGCAATTTCAGTGCTTTGCATTTAAAATAATAATTTGTTAGCTTCAAGATCTGTGTGACTTAAATTCGTTGTCCTAAGAAATGCTTTATGTGAATTATTGAGAAGAATTATGAATTTTACGACAAATGAACATACAACTTGTAGAGTGCAATAAGTGTCAAAAGTATGCAGAATAATTAGTCTGATATGTGACAGCCTAAATATTACTTGTATCAATAAAAAAATAGATATGGTTTCAGTAAAAAACTAAAAGATATCAGTACATAAATCTTAAGTAATACTCCTCATAATGCAATAACCAATTGTTCAAATTCCAAATTCTTTCAGTTGACGAGTATCATAGTGGCCTTGATTAATTGGGTATTCTTCGATGAAAATAATAACTTCTCTTATTTTGTTGACTCCAATCACTCTTCCTCCGGTATCTTTCTCCTGACTGTGGCAATTTTTATTCTTTGCATGGCCTTATTAGGTTGCATTGGTGCACTCAAAGAAAGCACCTGCATGGTTCAGACGGTAAGCTTAATTAACAACTATGTTAAAATTTTCGTTCAGTATAACTATATTGTATCTAAATGTTTCTCCGATTTTTTTTTGCAGTTTGCATTTTTGCTGTCGATAGCACTCGTATTTGAATTCGCAGCGTCAGTGACTATTTATACTTTCAAAGACAACGTTGTTGGTCTCTTGAACGAAAACATCAATAACACTATGCATCAGTACCTCAACGATACGGGAGCCAAAAAAGCCATTGATTCCTTACAGAGTCAGGTAGGCAACTTCATGGCGGAAATTACATTGTACCATACTGGACATTTTTTTTTCATAATATGATCATTAATTTTATAGCTACTGATTGTATTCATTATTTTATAAAGCTCTCGTGCTGTGGATACAACGGACCAAGCGATTGGGAGGACAAAGGCCTGAAAACACTACTTCCATTTAATGCTCCAGACTCGTGTTATGGATACCAGAAACAAAACAATAAAAATCGAAACGCCACCTACGTTTATCAAACAGGCTGCCTTGAAAAATTGACTCATACCATGAATAGTAATGCATCTACCCTTATCAGTAAAGTCGCAATAACCGCTCTCATTCAGGTATATTCACGTTAAAAATTTATCAAAAATTTAACTATTGCGTAATACCATTGAAGAGTAGCTTTTTTGGTACTGTTATGAGATAATTCTATGGTATTTGCACATTATTTGTTAACTCACCAAGTTTTGTTGTAATGCTTGTACCATAAAATTATTTTAACACGTTTTCTATACTTGATCATATTTCTCTGAAAACAGGTGCAATAAAAACTTTGATAAGCATTTGATTCAAACTTTTTTTCACAGATTTGCGGAGTAATACTCGCTTTCACACTTGGTCGTATGATCAGAAAAGAAAAGACGCTGCGAGAGATGCGCAAGTGGCAGAATCGAACAAATTTGTC